CAGGTGGGCTACACAGAACATCACAGTAGTGCTTTCAGATAAACACATCTTAGCTCCAGTGAGTTGTCATTCACTAAACTGAAAACAAAAAAATAATGTTTGAAAAGGAGTGAAAGTGCGTCAGTGTGTGAAATGCACTTTAAAGGCCCCCAAACATAAACACTTTGGACACTTCTGATTCATACTCACTCTATGTGGCACCTTTTAACTGTGTGAAACTGTTACATTCTGGGGTTTTTTATGATACTTGACAGACTGACAGTCAATAATACAGGCAAGCAGAGTGAAATGACACAATGAAACAATTATAAATTCTGAGATGAAATAAAATGTAAAATTATAAAGGAATACAGAATTACATAGTCTAATGCAGTGTTCTCTAATCTTTTTGGCTTGTGACCCTGTGAAAAGTGATGTCTGCTTATGACGCCTCATCACATGTACCATATTAGACACTTTATGACAAAATTGTCCCTTTTCAGATTGATTCAATGACTAACTCCAGTATTTCATGAGACAAAAGCTAAAATTACGAGAGAAAGAAAGTCAGAGAGTAGCAGTAAGTTCTTCCTTCTTACTTTCAGTTTTTGTGATCATTTTTTGATTTTGGTGGGGTCCCGACCCTCAGCTTGGGAACCACAATGTTGGGCCCTCCCTGAAGGTCTCAAGCTACACTCTGGCTCATAAGGGACCAACAGATACTGTAGCCAGGAGTTAGATCTTGCCAAGCCTCAGGAGTAATCAATAAAAACTTAACTTTTTCAACTACTTCACTTCTACAACTGCAGACTTCCAGTGTGGGGGTTAACATAGCAGTAATATGATCAGTCAGGCGCTGTCAGTATTCTGGCAGCAGAATCCTGCAGAATCTGGAGCCAGTGAGGACTTTGAGTTCCAGACTAGAAACTCCCATACAAGAGTTAAGACTTGCGTAACAATGAGAGCTGGGGAACTGGGAGGGAAATGATTAAACCAAGTATATTTTGTTGATTTTGTTGTGTAGTTACTCAATACCTGCCATAAGTCAAAATGACTGTCATAGCTCCTCAAGTTAAATGATTATCATCAACTGAATCTCACATTTAAGAGTAAATTTTTACCAGAGAATCCCACTCACTGTATGTTCTCACAAATTTCCCAAGACAAGCTTTTTACCCAACTTCTTCTTTAACTTCTTCTCTTCTTAGAAGAATACTAAGTATGAGTAAGACCGTTCTCACACCTCTACTCAACCCATCTCATGTGACCTCTCCTCTCCTGTCCATCCCCAGCTCAACTGCTCCAGGGTTTTATCTCCAGGTCAGGCTCAGGCATCACAGCACCCTACAGATTCACCCCACTGGCTGCTGTGTGCTGAGGACTGGCTCCTTCCAGCTGCAGATAAACCGTGTGTTGCATACTCCTTTAGGTGTGCCCATATGTCTGTATACGATGTGCATGTGCTGTGATGCTTATGCATTCACATCACTGGCAGAGCTGGAATAAACAACGCAATGCATATTTAATCATGCATGCAACAATCTTCAAACCACCTCAGTGCTCCCCTGTCTCGTTTTGTATTTGTCTTCATCTCTCTAGTATGGATGGGGAAGATGCAGACTTTCTAAAGACCGTGTCAGGGCTGGGGTGTGAAGTCCACAGTTTTGATCCCAGCAACTCCAATGCATCTGGTGGTCACCTTGGCAACAGTTTGGCCAGTAACCATGGTGATGGAGGCGTGGTCAGCCAGCACAAGATGTGGCTGGAGTGGCGAGCTCCAAGGAAGCGCAGGCACAAGACGAGAGGCAACCTGGGCGGTGTTTCTCATACACTGGCAGACATCATGGCAGCTCTGGGACATCACACAGTAAGACACGCAGACAGTTGGAGAAAGAGTGCCAAACAAACATACCTTAGAGTCTTTTCGACCCAGTATACCCACAAATCTCTCTTACTTGTATGTTCCCATAGCAACAGGGCTCTGCGCCATCCCTGGCTGCCATGGAAACAGTTTAAGTGAGTGAACCACACACTGGCCCGGTTACATCCCGCAGCCACAAGAGGGAACTACATACCTACAGTTTGACTCTGTGTTGGTTGACATTATAAGAAATGGTCTAAGCAGTGTTGGGCAGCGTTACTGTAATATTATTACTTTTCCCAGCGTAGTGTAACAGATTAATATTTCCAAAGCAGTAATATTACAGTTACTATTCCAAGTATCGCAGCGTGACTGCGTTAGCAGAACGCACCATCCTTGACGTGATCTTTCGTTGTTCAAGTCAGCTGTCAGCCAAGAAGCTCAAAGAAGACTGGAGAAGGAGGGAGATAGGCGTTCTTTCCACAGCTGGAAGTATCGCCATTATTGTGTCTCAGTCTAAGATGCAAAGAACATTGTTGTCTGTTGTAAACTTTGTTGTAATTTATTGGAGTATCTGTTAAAGCAGCACAGCAATGTGAAACTTATAGAAAGAAACTGACCGCTACTGCCAGTGATGCATGCACTCGTCGGGAGAAAGTGGAGCTAAGCATCGTTGTATGTTTGGTAAAATCACTGAATACTTCTCTTATAAATGTGCAGAAAACTACTAACTACTACTATAGTAATATAGTTAAACTAGTTACTTTTAATAGCCAGTAATATGTACAGTAATATTATTACTTTTTTTGGAGCAATAAGTAAAACTTTCTGAGTAACTTGTCCAACACTGGGTGTAAGGCATATACATATTCAATAATGATTTTAATTTGATTTTCAGTAAGGCCTGCACAACATGAAAAAATCCTAATATGTTATTAAAATACAGCAAAACTGTGCAGAATATAGACAAAACTTTTACAAATCTTATCAAACTTTTCTCTCATCCTGATATTTTTAGGATGACTATCTCAATTAGCTTTCATTTTAAGAGCAAAAAGTACCTTTTTGTAAGTAATTTGTAAAACACACTGTACTTTTTATTGCTATTGTGAGTATATGATCATTATTGTGCATTATACAGGACAAACTGAATTTCTATTCTCTTCAGGTTCACTTCCTGTATGCTGACCTGCTCAGTGCTGAGTGGAGAATTTTCCAGAACTGGATTGAGTCGGGAACTCTGCAGAGTGTCCATCATCTGGTTGCCACTGTGCACCTGCAATGGGCAGGTTTTGAGGTGGGCGGAAGCGACGAGGAAGTGCTCCGCTATTGGTACAGCATCCTACAGGGTCTCCAAGGTTCTGGACTCAAGCTAGTCCACAGCTCTGCGGGAGAAGGTCACAGTGTCCTGAAACGGACAGTAACAAATGCTCAGAGCTTGTACACGCTCAGCTGGGTCAACACAAGACACTGACACTCACACATGAATGGACACAGACTGTGGACACACATGACCTGACATTGTGGATGGCCTCAGCCAAGAAGGAGAAGGTCAAACTTAAATAGTTTTCACTTTTCTTACAATGAACTTTTTTCCTGTCATTACAGACACACACAGTTCTTAATATGACACCGCCCTCTAGTGGAGATGAAAAGATCTGCCTTTTTGAAGACTCCACCCTCAGAGGGAAATGTGATCTTATGTGCATAATATTGGCTAATTTGACCAAACGTGGAGCAGAAGGAGGGCTTGGTGATTTAACTGGACAACAGCAAAATAATATAATAATTTGATCTACACATTTTCATTTCTTAAAAAAAAAGTTGAAGCACAGACCTGCGATTTTAGTAATACCCTTTCACATTAATTTGATCCACCTGTAGTTTGAATGTAGTTGAATTCAGCAGATTGTTTAATGTATTTGTGTACATCTCTGAAGGCCTTTTATGTGCAATAATTCTTTACATTGAAGAGACACTTAAATTATACCGAGACTGATAGTGCCTACTGTGAAAAATATAGAAATTTGTCCATTATACTGATGCATTTTTGCACTCTACTGTGTACTGTAAGAAGTAAATAATGAAACCATGTTTTAACCCTGCATTAATACCACAATAAAACACCAAATAAAACCAAAAATCCTTGACTGCTTCTTTGTATGGCCTTGGAGAACCCTGATCATCCCTGTTGGTTGTAATTCCATAAGAAGACGGGTTAGAGTTTTTAGATTATTGGTTATATATAACTGATACACTGTAAATTACGTTGCCATTCTGGCATCTGGCAGACACAATGATCTTCACTTCCTTTGTATGTAAATAAATTAAAAAGGGTGTTAGATTAATGTTGAATGAAAGTCAGTAGATGAGCTAATTAACCGCCTTGCAACCTCATGCAAACCTTGCCCAATCATCCTTTGATATAGTGTATGTAGAGGTATGTAGTAACAACTCATGACTTAATTTAAGTTTATTCTGAAAGAAGAAAACAAAGGGGACAGAGGGGCTGTATTGTAGATGCAAGCATATGAATATCATTTTGATAATAGATGATCTTAAGTTTATGACTTTCTAATACATTTTAAGTGTAGTAATTCAGTTGCAGTGTTTGTGTTTTCCTTTCAACATGTCTGCACTTAATCCATAAAACTGTTTATTCTCACAAAAGCCTAATATGTAGACACTGCGCAGCAAGACAAGACTATAATTGTTCTCTTATTGCAATATTCAAGCAAACAGGTTGTCTCAATACTACCATTTCCCACACGTCCCTATACTGGGATAAATGATTTAACCTTTATTGGAGAGTGTTTGCCTCTCCCCTCCATAAACCCTGTGTACTACCAGTTTGCACGGGCTGAGCTGAGGTTAAGGATGCACTTAACACTCACCCGGCGAAGCTCTTCATAAGTGCTTTTCTTCACAGTGAGCTCTGATTCATAAAGACCAATGCCAGTCATTCCTCGGACGCGTTCCAACTCGCTTGAGCGCACGTTGGAATGTGCTTCTGCCTCCACCCTCCGTTACGCAAATTGCGGGCAGATGTTTGCCACTAGTCAGGGTGGAGTTGCGCTCTTTACGTTGAATTTTCCACATCCTGTTCTCAGCAAATACAGGCGACAGGCGCAGTAGCCAATCAGCTTTGAGGAAGTCAGACGCTCGACCAATCAGAAGTTCACAATCCCGGGACGTTTATGATGCGTTTAGCTCGTCAGTGTACAGTGCAGTTCAACATTTCTTGTGGAAATCTTGAGACAGGACAACAACCAGACTGCATAGAGAGAGCCTAAAATTGACAATTTTGACGGTAAGTAAAGTATGTTTAGTGAGTATAGTTTCGTAAGTTTATCTAGGATTAAACATTACTTTTATTTGGCTGTCCCTTCGAGATAAGAAGCGCCTACAAGCTACTTCCTGCTCTGACAAGGCCGAGATCCCAAGTTACATTGTAGCCTGTTTTGGCTAATGTTGTGGGCGTAAAAGTGTAACTGACTTACCGTGCTTTTGTAGTATATTATCTAGGAAAAATTCAGAGTTTATCAAAGATAGTAAACTTATTAGTAAAACCTTTCATAATTTCAGTTTGAGAGAGAGTGTTACTTCCCGAACATACAGCTGTGACAACAAGCTCGACTTTTAATGAAGAACTTGATCAATCTGACACTTACAGTAGGATTGAAACTACACAAAAAACAAAAAAATGTGCCTGTCAACCCAAGGAAAAGTACTACCCAGTAACATTTGTATCATGACCTCACTATTCTCTGACGCCCCAACGTTAACATGAAAAACGTGTAATTAGGCAACCAAAATGGGGAATAGGAAGCACTGCAGGGTATACTTACACTAAGCTGAATTCTGCCAGTCTGCACTGTGTTGATAGCAGGGAGAGTCTGCAGTCAGCGCCTAGTCATTTACTGAACAGATTCCACATTGCAATGCAGAGTTACTGCTCTGTGTGGGGAGTTCACATTGTCACACACTGACTGTGATTTGTGCAATGTAATCTGAAATATTTACACTTTGGTAAGAATAATGGTGCAAAAATCATTATTCACGCAGTTTTTCTCTTTTTTTAATGTTGAATTTTCCAGTTTCACAGCAATGTTTGCTGAGTTGACCAAGGCTTTAGTTTTGCTTCTGCTTTAGCTCTCTATGGTCTAGGGTTTATTTATACATGCGTGTCTGGGAGTCACATGAGCATGTGACTGATTCAGAGATGGAATTAAGTAACAAAAAATATCCATAAATCGGTAAAAGAAAATATCTACTATAATTTCCCAGAACTCAGTGTGTTTAAATTTCTTCTTTTGTCCAACCAACAGTCCAAAACCTTAAGAGGTTACATTTACTGTGGTATAAAACAGACAAAAAAACAGCAAATACTAAATTAAGAGATACTTATCATATGTTATCAAAATGGTTATTTATTATATTTATATACTATTTGCCACTAATTGAACTCACAGTTATTTCAGCACTAGACTTAATAGTATCTGTATGTAATACATGGTAATACATCTCAGCATGTTTAAATGACACACCTTTTGTTCACTATCAGGGTTGGGCCCCCCTACCCACAACACCCCACCATGCCTCTGGTTACGAGGAATATAGAGCCACGGCACGTGTGTCGCCAGACCATCCCTTCCAACATCCGCAGTGAGCTGGAATGTGTCACCAATATCAGCCTGGCTAACATCATCCGCCAGCTCGGCAGCCTCAGTGAGTGTCTGCTGTGTGTGGTTGGGTGTCATTATGGTTATATTAATTAAATATCATTAAAATGTTGTGTTAATGTCTAATAAAATGTGGCGTGTGTATGTGTGTTTGAACATGTTTATTCAAAGTTTGAATTTAATGCAGTTGTGAATATGCATATATTGGACATGTATGAGACAGCAATGCAAATCCTAAGTGTGTGTGTGTGTCTGTCTGTCTGTCTGTCTGTCTGTCTGTCTGTCTGTCTGTCTGTCTGTCTGTCTGTCTGTGTGTGTGTGTGTGTGTGTGTGTGTGTGTGTGTGTGTGTGTGTGTGTGTAGGCAAATATGCAGAGGATGTGTTCGGAGAGCTGTTTGTCCAGGCTGGAGAATTTGCGATCAGAGTTAATGCACTGGGTGAAAAAGTGGATCGTCTGCAGGTTAAAGTCACCCAACTGGACCCCAAAGAAGAGGAGGGTAAGTACACCCACATGTTATTGTTACAATTACTACTTATGTTAGGACCAGAGTAGTTCATTAGCTTATATAAATCATGAAACTTAACATTTCCAGTTTAAATCCACTTTTACACTGACTCCAAATGAAATTGAAAATTAAAGTGACTTTCCTAATAAAAATACCTCTTACACTGAAGTGCAGTAAATATTTAACTAAATTTTCTTTAATCTGTCCGTTTTTTTTCTCAGTCTCTTTGCAGGCCATCACTACCCGTAAGGCCTTCCGTAGCGATCAGATCCAGGACCAGCAGCTGTTCACCAGGCCGTCTTTGCCAGTGCCTATACAGGAGACCTACACGACCTGCAATCCTCCCCCACCGCTCAATTACCTCAGCCAATACCGGTAGGGCTCAGCAGATGCACACTCATTGCTCATATACATTCACTGGAGCATGGCATGCAAGAAATTCTAAGAGGATACGTGCATGCATTATTATTATTACATTATTTAAACTTACCTCTGTGATGCATTTGTTTCAAACCTCCTCAAGTAGTTGGTCTCAAATGGTGATCTTAAGGTTATCTTAATGGGGGTCTAACGAGCTTACAAGCAAACATAATGATAAATCACACTAAACACAGACACACTTAATGGCAAAAGGGACCGGATCATTTCAAATAAAATGGAAATGGCCATGCTTGCAAGTATACTCACTTGAATCAAAGCAGCACTGAAGAAATTCTGTGGGAAAAACAATGACCATAAGTGTCACAACCCAGCTGACACACATCAGTGAGATCTTGAATATTAATTATGCACAAGGCATGACATGTCATCGGAAGTATGATTAATTAGAAACCAGAATAGAAGGAGAGTGGGGTGATAACGGCTGAAGTCTGTGTAATCGGTAAGCAGTGGCATCAGTGATAAGCAGAGTGAGATTATAAGCTTCTCCAATGATATTATAAAGACTCTCTGTGACTGGTTTGAAAGTAAAAGTAGCATTAATTTGACCATGACAGATATTTACAGAATATGGTAAATGTGTTCAATTATTTTGCATTCTGTGTAATATGTGACAAAAGAACATAGCATGTTTCTAAAAATGGTCTCTTTTGTTGAGCTAAAAGGGAAGTTCTATGACTTATGGTTTATCACATAAGGCAGATTAGAACCTGTCTGCAGACATTTTGTTATCTTGTGTCCACAGACATAAATAGCAAAGTGTAATTGACACCCAAATGTAATTAATTAATATTTGTAAATGGTTTTCAACAGAGATGATGGGAAGGAGGCCCTGAAGTTTTACACTGATCCCTCTTACTTCTTTGACCTGTGGAAGGAGAAGATGCTCCAGGACACCAAGGACATCATGAAGGAAAAACGCAAGCACAGAGTGAGACACTTAAACACGCTCATTCACAAAAAAACAAGTAATGTTACACCATTGGTCGCTTCAGTTGAAATCATTTGGATCCAAGCCTCCATGTCTTCTTTTCACTGTCTCCTTTCTGAGTAGAAGGAGAAGAAAGACCTGAACCAACGGACGCTCAATCCGCGAAAGATCAAGACCAGGAAGGATGAATGGGAACGCCGTAAGATGGGGGAGGAGTTTGTGGAGCCAAAGAATGAAATGATGTAAGTTGAGAGTTTGAGTGAAGTGAAGTGGAAGTATCTACAGACTGATGGGAGTGTGCATTGGTGCAAAGTTGTGGTCACCCACGGCCCAAGAAGTGTTTGAATGCATTTGAATGTAAAAAGTAATGAATTCATTGTTTCTCTCAAGTTAACACAGTGAAAGTGCAGAATGCACTCACATGCTGAATTCCACTCTGCCCTGTCTTATCAATCAATCTGTACACAGTGATATGGGTGGTATGTCCTTTCTGAAAATGTTCTCGGCGGAGTTGAGTGTAGCGCTGGCTGTCATGCAAATTGCAGTAAACAAAGCTGTGAGTCACACCAGGCCTTAGGGTTGAATATTTTTGTGTCGTTGCATGTGACATATAATGATCACAGTAAACATGTAAAAATAAGTATTTAAAAATATCTGATGCAGTTAAAGAGCATGTTAGAGTCACATTGGTAGAATTGAACTGACTGTATATTATTTATTCTACAGTGTGTTATTTTTATTAAATTAATAGAAAATTTAAAGAAACAATACAATAAAAAGCACATGAATAACAACAACATAAAATACATACTGTGTTGCTTGATGAGCTGCTGTACTCAATCTCAATATTCAAAGTTTTTCTGTCAAGCTGTTAAACTGAAGGACAAGTCTATTTCTTACGGCTGTGTACAACACTGTGTTGTTTCATAGCTTTGTGAACCAGTCACCACAAGTGTCAATGTCACTGTTGTGTCTTCTGCTTTTGCGTTTGTGATACTACCTCTTAAATCTTTTCAGGGTCATTTCTCATAAACTAATGAGCAAACAGTACATGTCACACAACTGCCAATTAGGTTTGTAGATGCTAGGTGTTATTGATAAAGGTCATGTCCAGATTTCAAACAGTAGAGATAACTTATTGTAGTGTTGTGCCAATTGTGATGTTTTTAATTTGTTTTAAGGAATTCTTCTGAAGGTCTGAATGGCAGTATTGGATCTGGAGATGGCTTCAATTCTGAAGGCTTAGAGCAGAGTACCGACTCCTACGCTTATGACCCCAGCTCCCCTCTCTCCCCGACTGGCCCTGATGACTTCCTGCCTCCTCCACCCCCAGACATGGCGTAAGTAGCATCTTGCACATGCGCCCACACACACTCCCTATGTGTGATAAATGTACAGCTATGTTTGTACTGCACAGCTGAATTGCAGTCCTAAACACGTCCTCTCAGGGAGGGCTGGGCGGAAAATACAGTTTTTAGCCTTTTTCAGTCACTTGCTTCTGTCGTCCCAGAACTGAAGACTGCAGGCCTGTGTGTGTTACACTAATAAAGCAGTAAACTCACAGTGTCCCGGACACCAGTATTTTAATGGTTAAAAAAACATGAATCAAGTGAACAAAGATTTGTGTATGTAGGTAAAGCTTAGTATTGTGTCTTTTATTATTTTATTCCTACAAAAGTGATTTTGGATCCTGTTCCTAGTTGATGAAGTGGTTCACTGAATGAATGTCAGATACCAATTTCAGTTATCGCTCTAAGCCAATCTAAAGCCAAGGCGACAAGCAAGGGTAACTTTAAGATTTTCCATTATGGATCTTTTTTCCCATGTTTTTTTTGTCTATGTGATTAGTGGACATACTTTGCCAGGGTTCAATTGCCTGCAAAGATTATGTGGCAGCCCTGTTTTGCAGCTGCTGTCGGCAGCGCTCCCTCAATACTGGACCGATTTCCAAAAATGTTGTTCCACTTAAGATGTTTGTTTTTGCCGCTGACAGGCTCAGATTGTTATTACAACTGTCTGACGACATTGTGGAAAGGATCCCTACAGAGATAGGCCTTTTTTTAAAGAGTAGAATCCCTTATGCTTAACCAGAAATTGTTCTCGTCAAGCCACAAAAATCTAGTAATTATACCTCTCTTGTCTAGCACTTTCTCGATTGGTTAGTTTGTGTCGTTGCATGACTTTGGTGTTAAACATAAAGGATCTTAATCTTTAAAAATAAAGTGGCAAAAACAAGCACTTCAGTGACGTAGTTCAACAGGGCACTTGCCTGTAAGGATTACATTGCAGCCCTGTTTCACTGGTGCCGAGTGCAGTGTGCTGGCTCAACTGTTGTCTCAATTAGTCACATAGAAAAAGGTTGAAAAAAAACACTGAAGTTACCCTTAAATCATTATATGGGTGCAATTCCATATTTACATAGATGTTGTACATATGTAATCACTTTTTCTGGAAACAATTAAAATTATATATTTTTTTAAAAACAGGATTGTAATTTACAGTGCAATGTGTTAACTTTAATACAGCAAAACGGGATCAGATTAGAAAACAAGGAGGCTTCATGCTAACACGTAATCAAATATACTATCAAACAAGGAGAATTAAAAATAAAGACCTGTCTAAGTCACCTTCAAAATAAAGGCCTGAGAGAAATAAAGGCCTTGGCTACTATTTGAGAATTAACGCTATGTTATTTTGGAGAAAATGGGGAAAATCTCGAGAGATATATATATTGTACATCACAGCGTAGCCTAAACATTTCGAGAGATTATTTACAGCCCTACTCAAGATTAAAGGGTTCAACAGTAGCAAAAATAGATAAGAAACTACATTTTACTTTCAGCCTGTGTTTCTTTAATGAACATGAGCTGCCAAGATTGGAGAAAGGTAACTTATCCTTGTCTTTAACGTCCACACTGTCTTTTTGCAGGTATAATGACGGACAGCATGGAGCACCATCCCAGAAGCGTGTCAGCATGCTGAGTCCAAGCCACCCACCTCCTGCTCCCCCCGTGACCTCTCCCACCTCTCCCAACTCTCGACCCAACCTCGCCCCTCCACCTGCACCTCCTCCCCCTCCTCCACCCTCTGGTTTTGGGGTTCCCCCACCTCCCCCTGGCTTTGATAGCCCACCTCCCCCTCCTCCACTCTCCTCACCCAACGCCTATCCCTCCCCACCTGCTGCCCCTCCTCCACCTACTATGAGTGCTCTTTCTCCTCCTCCTCCTCCACCTATACCTGCAGGTGGCGGCCCACCACCACCTCCTCCCCCTCCACCACCTCCCCCTGGCCCTCCTCCCTCATCTTTCAACCAGTCTGCTCACCCTCCTCCCTCTGGTGGTGGTGGGGCTCCCAGCTCTGCTCCCAAACCTCCGCCAGAGCCTGTTGATGATGCTCGCAGTGATCTGTTGCAGGCCATCCGACAAGGTAAGACCCTACCTCCTTACTGCTGATTGGCTGAATAAAAATTATAGATTGGAGGGTATCAGGTAAGATTTTAACGATATTACTACACTTACCGATGCTTATCAATCCGGTACTCTAATGGTATTGTCATCGGTTCTTTTTGTTGTTAAGAGAAAAAACAAAACAAATTCAAAACAGAATTAACATTGCTTTATTTACTGAAATGTTAAATAAATAAATATTTACAGCTGAACAAACAATATTTTGAACAAATCACTATTATAGACTCTAATGTTGTGTTGATGGGAAACTGCAAAAGAAAATACAGTGGTATAGAGCAACACTTTAACTTAACAAAAAAGTTGCAAAATCTTTAAATGGATGTGAGAAAGAAAGCATGCAGGCTCGCGAGAGATCTTATTACATCTTATTATCTTATTAGACACAGTCGGTGAGAGAAAATGTGCAAGATAATGTTTATGTAGCAATAATAAATGTATATTCATAATTTCTGTAGGACCAAAAGCAGAACCGATAACGTTGGAGCTTATCAACTCTATAGTCTTTCACAATTTAGCTCTTTGGCCTGTTTAAAACCGGGTGTTGGTACCCATCCCTAGTTACATGTCTATTCCAGTATATTTCAGAGGCAAATATTATGGGATCACTCTATTAAATTGCTTCTCCTTTCTCATAAAACATTGTACACACTGTATTTTTGAAACAGTGTGTACATGTTCTTCTTCCTTGGCCTTTTCTGGCATGTTTCTAGGCGCATTACTGCCGTCAGCTGTCAATTAGTGGAATAGCGGGACATTGCTGCGTGTTCGTGAGCATGCATGGTATTAGGTGCCCTTGACTTCATGCGGCGCTGCGCAGCGCTGACTTAACGTGATGCATGCTGGTTAGAAATTGTTTTTTTGTTTTGTTTTTTCGACTTAACAAAATATATATAACAATATACAAACATATAACATGTAGACAGAATACAATACAGTTTTGCCAGGGGAAGCCTATAGGTCATAAAGAGAAAGAGGACCATATGTTGACAGTTTTAACTGCTTTTCTGTTGTTGGAGCCAGAAATAAGATTAATATAAAGGACAACTTCATGGGAAAAAAGTACAAAATTAGGTTTTTTTAGCGCTGAATTTGCATTTATGAATGTGAAATTTTGCCAAAAGAATTAATAAATTTATAATGAAGTACAACTTTTCTTTACTTTGACTTCCATAAAAGCTAAATACAACATTCTTCCATAATAAGGCAAAGTCTTATAAATATGGTCAATGATGAATCTGCTGAGGGCTTTGCCAAAATGCTCTGGTGTGTGAGCAATACCAAAAGAGGTGCAAAACAGTTTCTGGGTGGTCTTCACAAAAAGAACAGTTTGTATTGATGTCTCTTTTAAATTTAACCATGTAATGATTAGTGCGGTAATATCTGTGAATTATTCTGAACGACACTTCTTTCACCTTGTTTACTATCAAGTATCTGTGAGGGATCATCCAAACCTTTTTCCAGTCAATGTCATTTACAAATCGGTTCCAATAAAATGTAACATTTGGAATAGAAACAATTTCTTTCTGAAATAAAGCACGGATGTTCTTATTATTTCGAGGAAGTTGGGAAAAACAGATTTTACCTACTGGTGATTCAGCCTGCTAGTTAGAAATTGTGTCAGACTTTCGCTGGCGCTGCAAAATGTCACCATGTCACGTGACATTAAAACCTCGCGGGAGCAAGAATGTGTCCGACTTGACAGCGGCGTTTTTATTCCCCGCCCCTGCAGTCAAGTGCAGCTCATGTAAGACTATCAAGTTGGCGAAAGTCAGCCCCCGTCATCTCAAACGCACCTATTCAAACAAAACATGGATCCACCCATTTCACTATAGTGATAGAATACTGCTTGCAAAGTATTATGCAGATGTTGTCAGACACACACGTTCACTGTAACTCACCAACTCCCATCTTAGGTTTCAACCTGCGTAAGGTGGAGGCGCAGCGTGAGCAGGAGAAGAGGGATCACATTGGCAACGACGTGGCTGCCATCCTGTCCCGTCGCATTGCTGTGGAGTGCAGTGACAGTGAGGATGACTCTTCAGAGTTTGATGATGACCAGTGGTCCGAGTGATTGTCATCTCTTTTCACCTTCACTACCACCTCTGTGTCTTTCTTCGTGCTGTAAACATCAGTGTATTAAGTACCAGTGAAGTAGGGGTCCATGTTCTGTGTCTGTACAAGTGACCTATTACAAATCACATTCTTTGACCAATTTCTTTCTATTTATCCAAAATTATTATGATCAGAGGTTCAAAAGTCCAAAGATTGAGAAAGAGTGTGAGTGTGCCTGGTTTCCTGATTTGCCACTGTTGTCATTGGATGACACAGCGCTGTTATTGATGTGAGTGTTATGTGATGTGATGCACGTCTCTCTACCAAGTCTGCGTAAACACATCACATTACAATAAGATGCCCTTTGCTGCTGGCCAAATCTCTGATTTTATCTGCTTTAGTATATTATGGCAAAGGATAACCGAGATGGAGTACACACCTCTTCCCTACACAGTATTTGAATGTACTCAGCAGAAAGACACAAGGTGTTGATGTCAAAACATTCTTGCTCATTTATAGGTTATGATATAGATGTAAAATTTATATTCCATATTGAATCATATCTACTAAAGATAATTAATGCAATCCATTTAAAGCACAGTTTTTTTTTTTATCACTTTTACTCACCTCACTTTTGTAGTGTTTTTTTGTGTGGTTGTCATGGGAACAACGGACTTGTGGATGAGGCATGGTTGTCACTTGTAAACGAATTCATGAATGAATTATTCCATGTAATAGGGGAAGTATCGGCTCATGGCAGACACCTGGGGTGCTTGATTAAATCTCCATACCGAACATATGCAGACATTTAACACAAATACCATGATTCATTTTGTACTGTGTTTCAGCTCTGTTACATATTTCTTCCTGCAGTTTTTATTGTGACCCGGGAATGAACTAGGCTCTGATCACTGTGATCTGTGTGGAGTCAGCCAGCCATATGCCTTTTCTTGCTGCCTGATAAGTGCCTTTTTTATACTGCATTTCAGTGTCAGTCCATGTTTATTTTGGTTATCCACGCTGGTTAACGATCAGCTTCTTCCAAAAAGATTAACACCTGCCATTGATGATACAAACGTAGAACTGACTGATGTGTAGTGTGGGCCACATTTCAAGTGCCTTTTTTTTAATTTTAAATCAGCCTGTGTTAAAGCACAATCACACAGCGTGCTTAGCCAAAGTTCTGCTTTTCCTGCCTTAAATTCCAAATGATTATAGTTATTTCAATAAAGATAAGAGTTAATAATAGCAATTGTTTAGTTTTCCTTTCTGTGAGATTGCATAGTGTAAATGTTGTAATGTGTTGAGCCTTGGCATAAGACTGCCCATGCTTTATCCATGACTCATCCTCCATACTTGTCAGTGCTGGACACCTCTCCCGGTGTTGACTGCGTAGGGAGTGTGAAAATGAATCAACTGGATAAAAGTTCCGAAAATGAGCAGAGAAAAACCTCTTGCATAATCACTACATCCTCATACCAAAGCTGCTTTGTAGGTTTTAAAGGACAGCAGAGTGTTGGTAATAATACTGAAGATTGCGTTAGCCGCCAAATAATTTAGGATGCAGGAATAGAGAGCAGCAGTCTGGGCCTAATTGAGTTAAAGCGAGAGATAGAAAGAGACAAACAAACTGAAAGCCTCAGCAGCAGTAAAGAGAAGAGTGCTGACATTACCCAGTAGAAAAAAAGCATATTTATTATTCATCAGTATAAAATATTCATTCATTTCAAAAAGGCTGTGCAACACGAACATATGGTCAGTACATTTCAAAGTGCCTTTAACAGCGTGTGCAAAATAGAATCTCAAATGTTCTAGACATTCAAGTAAATAAAATTGGCCTTTGGATCACATATGTCATTACATTGTGATAGGCTTACATTTAAAACCCGTCCCTCTCGTCTTAAAGTGCCGATGGTCATTAAATCCACCGTTTTATGAGTGGGGATATATATAGCATCCCTGTGGTTGTGTCAGTCTGCTGATCGAGTGGATCTACAATTGACAGGATGAGGCACAACATACATACAAGACAGTACATTTAGTCTTTAGTCCCAAGATGGCTGCCAGCCAGGACAGTTCAGGACATTCTGATTTGCAGGACTTCATCTCTTGGAGCTTGCATGTGTGGGAGTATGTGTGTGTGTGTTTGAGACTTCATGTTCTTATTCTGGACGATAGTCAGTGCAGCTATGTGCGTATTTGGCACACAAACAGTGATATGTCTGGCATTGATGTGGTGGTTTGAGTCTGGGTAGGTTTGGCAGTCTACACATCAACAGGGTAGTGTATCTGTGTGTTGTGTGTGCATCTGTGGGGGCAGCAGGCCTGGAGCAGCACCTTGCGAATGTCTTTGTTTCTCAGACTGTAGAGTATTGGGTTCAGCAGCGAGCCACCTGCTGCCGGCACCAAGGTGGCATAGGTGTACAGAGGAGGACTGGAAGCGTCTCCCAGCAGCCCCCAGAGGGAGAAAGGCATCCAGCAGCCCACAAATACACTGAGGACCAGAATCAGCCGAGAAAAGCCTCTCCCACTGCTGTGTTTGCTTGCATATGATTGATTGGCAGGGAGGAAGTGCCTCTGGGTAGCAATGGCGTGGGCATGCCGCCTTGCCACACGGCATATACTACCATACAATTGCAGGGTTACCATGACAACTACCAGGAAGCCACCACACAGCAGCGACAGATATGTCCGGGTCAGAGGTCTTGCTACAGAACAGGAGCTTGGCTCTCCCAGACAGTGCCATCCCATTGCAGGTCCCGCTCCAATGACACAAGCACCCAACCAGACCAGCAGCAGGAGGATGGCGGCTCTGTGACGCGATTGGCTCGAACCATAGGTGAGGGCGTGGCTTAAAGACAGGTATCTGTCCAAAGCAACACCCATCAGGCTACAGAGGGATGCAGTCAGTGATGTCACCAGCAGTCCGGAGATCAGCAATTCTGACCAATCACTGGGCTCCACGCAGAACAAGAAGAGGAAGTGCAGGACCAATGCAACACCTGCCAAGAGGTCGGCCAGTCCGAGGCTTGCCAGCAGCAGGAAAACAGGGGCGCGAAAAGACGGGGTGGCCAAGATGGTGGTGACAACTATTGCATTTTCAGTAGCGATGAGAGTTCCTGAAACACACAGTGCAACGCCCCACACTGTGAGGGGCGGGACTTCATATGGAGGAGAACTATCCGGTTTGTCCAGGGGGAAGAAGGGGTCTGCACCTGAGAACTCATCCCAGCCCAGGTCAGAGGCGTTCAGGATCATGGCTGATCAGCAAACAACCTACGCAAGAGAAAAAAGGAGATACGTGTTGGCATTAGTCTGAACCCATCTTGAAGCTTTTACAGTGCAATAAAAAATATGCTCAACACAAACAAGAAATAAGCTATATACCACAGAATACAAACACCAAGACTGAAAATACTTTTACAATATGTAGGCCTATTTTTTTAAGTGACCCCAAATAAATGTTACAGTAATCATGCTGGTTAAATGTCAGTGACGTCACCATCTTGCGGGAAGTCACGCAAATCATATATTCAACCAATATGTAGGCTTAATGCAACGCCATAGACTGATTTACTATAGCATTAATACATATTTAGGCTGTCGTTGAATAAACTGTCATTAGATGTTTTTAAGCACTCATTCTTAGTCCGGGCTATCATTGGCTTTCGCTTTCCACCATTTGTTTTGCAAATGCATACAAACATCGTTGATATAATGTTTGGTGTGGCTAAGCATGTAAACTCACTTCCAGATTAAGTTAGTTGGCTACAAACGTTTACGAGATTTCCCTCTTGTTAATGTCCAAGCTTAGTGTTCAACTACACACTGTGTGAACCTCGGACAGTTTGTTCTATGCAGTGACTCACATCTCGAATAAGAAAGCTTTAGGCTACAAATAGGCTATTTCAGGAATTCGCCTGTTAGAAGATTACGCTTGTGGTCTCTGGTATGTTGTCTGCTTTAGCACGTGTCCAAGTGCGCTGCATGCCTACTGAAAGTAAATACCACAACTGTAATATTTTAAGGTCATTTTTCTTTTGGAAGCGCCAGGAGTCTTTCATCCTCCTCCCTCTCACGTCTCAGAGTGAGGAGGTATATCCCACCTCCTGGTGCGGAGGACCCTGTTGTGTAATACAGTTTTACCACAGCGGATGTCACCGACACATGCAAGCTCATATGAACACGCATCGCACATACACTTATAAATGCATAATCTGTGATTAGGCGGGTTATTCATCTTACCTTATTAATGTGATTCTGTGAGTTAAACAGATGTGTTGTCTCCTCTTTTAAGATCTAAGTCAAATGATGGAGATTGGGTGATGCCGTACGTAGTGATGTTCAGCACCGGGTTAAATAAGAAGGACAGTCCCAGTGTGTGTGACACCTCTCCGTGCTCCGGGCTTCATCAAAGTTGCTCCAAACTTTAACTCGGTGTCCCTTGCATCTCTTCGTCTTCAATCTCTCCGGAGCGCTTATGGGAGGCAGAATGGATGCTCCTGCGCGCGGAGTCATCCACAAGAGAGCCTACCTGACGTCAGTGATTGGGAGGCTCGACCAATGAGGTGTCGGCTTAAAGATGCGGGGAGAGTATGGGGAGGGGAGATAGATGGAGTAATTTCATTCAGAAAAATGCGGCATCTCTGTCGCCCCTCCCACTGCGGTTCACTCTCTACTGTCTTGTCAATAATGACCACAAATAGTCACCCCCCTCCAACAGGCGCACAAACACACACACGTTTTCTCAATAAGACCCAGAGGCATGGTTGAATGAGAGGGTATTGTTTTGTGTTGGTGCAGAACTCAGAGCTGTGGGGACGGAGCTCAGGGCTGGCGCTCTCCACGGTGCTGAAACGCATCAGGATGACTCATGGGGAGATGGCCTGCAGAGCAACAGTCATCTCTGAAATAAACACCTCAAACGTGAAAACGATCCACCTAAATGAACGGAAAAGGGGCAATGTTGCTCAAAATGTGACTGTTATGTGTGATGTTAATTACTATGTTATGTTCCACACACAGAACCCAGCTACAACTTATATGTTGCCAATTATTAATTATTAGTGCACTGGAAGTTTATTAATGTATAGGTTACACAACTTGGCAGAAACCTTAACCCACAGCCTTTTAATTATGATAATTATCATTCATTATTCATTATCATTATCAATCATTAATTTAATCCAATATAACATCAGCACAAACAGCAGCCTCAAAATAGATCACACACTTTAATAAACACCTCTCCTCTCTGACACATTGATTATTTATTCAAATTGTACATTATGAGATTCACACATGTGGACTAGTAGCCCTACACTCATTTACAGATCTTATAGGACTATGCATATATGCAAACAGTACATACATAAGGATATGTGTTATGATGTAGATAGTGAGGGGTCTCCTGTCATCAAACAATAGCAAGAATAGCATTTATTTAGCTTGTTATCTAATGTATTGATTCGGTTTTTTGATTAATGCATAATTTAATAGAAACACGGGCCCCTGCCCCTTGCAGTATCATAACAGCAGCAGGGAATTCATGGCTTCCCCGGTTTGATAGTGAGCGTGGGTGCTGCAGGATGGGCTGAACAGTTGTCTACGTGGTCGCGCATATCAATGACTTAAGAGGGGGGGGATCTCCTCTAGCTCGAGCCATATTAGGAAACATTTCCTGCCGATAAACCCCTCCTACGTCACTTACAGGATCTGAAGTGCAGCACTTGTCACATTAAAAAAGTACAGCCTGTATAATCGCTCTTCTCCAAATGTGTGCACATTTACAGCTGTGTTTTTTACCTGAAGACCTACTTTTCTGCATGCCCCATTTTTCATGACACATTTTATAGTACCAATACAAAAACATTATATGCAAATGAGAAGGATAGCCTTTATACACATAGCAGGAAACTAAACTGAAGCTACATTGTAATATATATGAGTAGTCTTTCCGTCTGTAACACCATAGCCCATTGTGATGGACTCCTTTTTATCTTCTTGCACTGTCTTATATGTATTTATTAAGACTAACAGGTCGTCTCGCCGCCATTGATGCAACAGTATTCACTTATTTGCTGATTTTTGCCAACACTGGAGGAGGGAATCGTGTTCTACTGCGGAATATCCCTTTGTGTGTTTTTCGCACGCCGACACACAGACCAGCCACCCCGCAGAGCTGCACAGATGTGCACAGGCAATCTGTGAGAGCATATGAGACGTGGGAGTACAAGAGCCACGTCGATGTGAGTGGAGGAGGGGGTGCTGGTGGTGGTGGAATTCACTGCATTAATCTGAAAAGCGTGTCGTGATTCTAGGCTCAATGTATCTGATTTTGAGGGCTTGGCCAGGGCTATGACTCAGTGTATCTATCTGTATCAATTATATAGTTATCAATGTGCTCAATAATAGTCTTGTTCAGACCTTCTGTCTTGGGTCCAGATGATGTAGCCTTAAATTCAGATTATGTAACATTGCTGTGACTTTAAGAATGTGTTCCAAACCTTTAAGTTATTTGTGATCAGATCTGTGATGATTAATGTTAGATTAATCAGAGAGAAATCAGTTATGGTTGAGATGATAAGAAGTGACAAGGCAGCACTTCATCACAGTCAGTGAGGTGGTAATAGAGGATTGACGTACATGCTGTCTACTGCACACTGTTCTACCTCCCACCCCAAGACATTCACACCTGTGGTAGCTATATTTAGAGCTGTATTAATTTGATTGAATCACACAAGACACATATTTTTAATTATCAGACACATCCCTGATTAAAATGAGCACATTTATGAATTGCTTAATCAGACTTTCCCAGCAGATGCCTGTTAAGAAAATGTATTTGTTTGAGTCTTAATAGGAAAAACAGCCAAATGGATTCCTGCTGGTTCTAGTTTATTTCCTCAAACAATGGTTACCACATTTAACTGTCTTGTGAACTGTTTCAAATAAAGCTACATTAGACCCCTTGTCGCATGTTATAGCCTTGAATTGAACATAAATTCTGATCAGTTTGACTAAGGATTTTTGAGGCTTAGTGAAAGCATCCAGTATTTCTCAAGAAAAAGGTTAGAAAAAAATCACATGTTGTGTAACAGGGATATACAGTATTTTTAGCCATGGTGACTGTGGTGGTCTGGGAATAGAGACGTCTGTCTGTCAGTCAGTCAGTCAGTCAGTCCACCACTTTGGTCCAAACTGAAATATCTTTTGGATGGATTACCATAGCATTTGGTTCTGACATGCAAAATTGTAATTTATTTATGTTTAGCCCTAATAAGCCAATGTTAGCATGCTAACACTCCAAGCACAGCTTGAGGGGTCCTGGCACCCCAGGTTGGGACTCAGGGGACTATCCTAGAACATACACCCAGTTTGAACATCTGAGCAGTGTGAAAGGAAAACGCAGAATAATGATGAAATTACACCTGGGGGCTACAAAAGTAATTAGATTGCAAATTATTTGTACTTAATTACTTTCTAAATATTGGTATTCCAGTGTGTCCCACTATTGCTGATGGTGTTTGTAAGGACATCTGTGTGAATGCAGGTGTGTGTGTGCGTGCACTGCCTGCTGAAATAAGCAGGTGTCACTCCGTCCAAACTGGTGTGCATTTCAGCAGGGTTGAGGTGGGCCAGCTGGTTGCCAGGCAACCAAGTTTGGTGTCGCTCATATTACACAGATCTCCATGTCTTCAGTCTTCCTCTCTTTCCCTCAGTGTCCTAGCCAGGAGCCATATCTCCATTTGCCATTATTGGATACCCTCTTGAGGACCTACCGAAGATACTTTTGTTTATAAAACTTTTTGTTGATAGTAATTCTTCTCCAAGCATCAAGGTTTCCAGCTGTCAGTTGCAGATTTTGGTGCTCTGTGGCTCTCAGGATGCAGCAGCTGGTATTGAAGGTCCTCTGCTCCACTCTGCTGCTTCTAGCAGTGGTGCCCTCTGTGTCCTCACAGTCAGGTATGGGTCCATCCACATCTCTGACATTTATTTTCTTATACTGTAAGACCACGTCAGTGTACCAGAAACATGTTGGTTTGTCTTGCCTCCTTTCCATGGCTCTTTGTTTCAACTAGAGTCTGATTTGATCTCTTTCAAGGGTATTTATTTGACAATATCTCTGCTCTTATAAAAAAAAAAGAATAAATGTCTTATAACCTGTAATGATGGCTTGTTCTCCAGTATTTCTCACAAGCTGACAATAAGCAAAAGTGTGAGAGGCGACTGACAATCTGCAAGCTTTTCTTTGGCATTACTTAATTTTTCCTACTCACTTTCTAAGCAAGTCGCCTATTCTGACATTGCCCAGACTGGAGCAGTTGTCTTGCAATAATTAAGCTGCTACAAAGCTTCTGTGGGAAAATAATTGTGCATTAGCCAATCAATTTGTTTTGAGCAACACTGCCAATTGACTACCAGTGTTGTCCCTCCTACAGATTGTTCTCAAGCCGAGTCATGTGACCTGTGCGTCGGAGACTCCATGCTCAACCTGACAGGCTGTGTCTGGAGGCTTTGTCCAGATGGTGACCCGCACGCACGCACGCGCACACACACACACACACACACACACACACACACAGATGAACACACCCCTGACCTCTGATAGTAATTCAATCATCATAGCTGCTGTAACATAAGCTTTCCTGGTTTGTACAAGGTGACTGAATTATTTAGTATGCCAGGAATGCACACATGATACACACACACATACACACACACACACACACACACACACACACACACACACACACACACACACACACACACACAATAAAATGCTTGTTCTCTCTGTCTCAGGTAATGATACAGGCATGTGTGTGACTGATGAGGGCAGCTCAGCAGACAGTGCCATGAACTGTAGCTGGACTAGAGTGTCTGAATTGTGCACAGGTAGCAAACAATCCACTCCAAAATTAACACAAGATATTTCTCTGCAATGTCTGTGACTTTTTGTCTCTTCTGCATGTTTTATTTCAGTTGTAGAGACTGTAGCTGAGGGAGAAGGCAAAAGTGACTCAGGTAAATTGCACTGACTCTACCACCCCCTCCCCTCTCTCTTGCGTCATACATTTATTATTCCCATAAGAGCTGAGTAAAATGCTCCCCAATGCCACTCATGTCATTTCCACCAGTAAAAATCCCTGTCCCTGCTTTCTCAGAAACAAAACTGACACTCTCTTCTTTTCCCACCCACCCTGCTTTCATGTAATTTCCCTATGAACCCATCAAACTCTTCTTTTCCTTTCTCCCCAGGAGATGGAGGCAGCACCAACTCAGAGTTCTCCCAGGCCAAGTTTGATATGTCCAGTTTCATTGGCGGCATCATACTTGTGCTGTGTGTGCAGGCAGGCGGCTTCTTCGCCATGCGCTTCCTCAAATCCAAAGAGCAGAGCAACTATGACCCCATGTGAGTTTGTGCATGTAGGTGTTAGAGGACAGAGAATTTAGCGTGACTGCATCAATTTAAGCGTGTGCATGTCGATGTGTCTGTGCCACCATGTTAAGTGATGGTCTGTTGGTGCAACAGCAGCCTCTAGTGGCAGGAGTGATCGATAGCACCCAATATACAACGTGATTCACCTTTACCGTCCCTCTAGATTGTATTCTGATCACAAACTCCATCTGTCTATATCAAAATGATGTCTGTGTTCATACAGAGAGCAGCCACAGTGAAGACAAGGTGTATGAAGGGCAAACAGACGAGGGTGGAGGACAGCAGAGCAGTGACTCATCGAGTTGTGACGACAAGAGTTTTTTTTTCTCTGAGCCCCTGTCATTTTTGGTTTACTCCCCATGTGTACCCCTGGGGGATGGGTGTGTTTATAAGAGGACATTTTTCTCACAATACTGCGTTGTGTAACGAGTGTCTGTGCATGTGTTCACTGTGTTTGTATAGTATTCATATTTCAGAGATATTTTGGCTGATGGTGTTACATACATACACTTTTTGTTCCTCACAAATGAGGAACAAAAAGGATCTGATTTTCTCAGCGATATACATTTTCACCAATACTACTACTACTGTTAAGTGTTTGTCCACCTACAAACAACAAGCAACTATCAAGTGAGCCGTTCCAACTGTGTAAACAGTACAGCGTGGTTGTGGGAAAGATTGATATACTACCATGTAGACTGTAGGTCAGACAAGGTCATAAGAGGCATTTTAAAATTTATTTTAAAGAACCCTAAAATAGTCCAAAATTAGACTCTGGAGATTTTGTCCATCATCTACAAATACTTTTGAGTTATATGTGGAGCTGCATAACTTTATTATTGTGTTTTATTGAAACCAAAATATAAAATATTTATGTATGTTATATATTTCTTTCATTTGATAACTTGCAGTGAGTTATATAATTGAGCTGTTGACCTTAATGACCTCCTAGAGGTTCCGGTTTTTGGGACATAGAAAGTTAGACTTTATTATTTAACAAGGCCCAATCGTTGTTGTAATTGTACCTTGGACCTTTAAGCTTCACGACTACACACTCCCCTGATTTGTGTGTTTTTGTTCTGACTTGTCAATAACTCAGAGCCTTTTTTATAAATTAATTTTCATGGAGGAGATTTCTATTTTGACTGCTCATATTTACATTGCATACACATCAGCTTTAACCATTTCATAGCAGTTCAAACATATGTGATGTGAGCATGTTTGCTCATGCTAATGCTGGTTATGTTGATCAAAATGAATTTTTTGTGATGCCATTAGAATGGAAAATGCTTTAAAAGGCTGGGGCCTGAATAAAGTACAGATAAACACCTTTTTCTGTGTTTGTTTGTGTCAAGTTTGCGTTCTTGCATGCAAACAATGAGTTGGTAACAGTTAATCACAGTAAGTGATTGTGCAGTAGGCTATGCGTTGAGTGCATATTTACCCATGCCAGCAGAGTTTGAACTAGCTCTAACCTGGGTGTGACTAGAGACCGCGGATACTTACCCAGTATCTGCAGATAAGAATAACCTATTAATCTTCACATATCTGGGAGTCAGTAGGGATTCCCAGCATGCAGCAGGCCACAGCACTGGTGGAGGCCTTTAGGGGGGCAGCAGGATGGCTGGCTGAATACATCAGTCTCTGTCTGAGCCAGGACCCTACAGGCTTGAAAAAACCCATACAAAAAGGTTTCCCAACTGGGCAGACTGTGGCTGTCATCCAAGTCTGTTGACAAAGGACAGGACTGAATACAGGTCCTTTTCCCTCTGAATTCACTCTGAATACCCTCCCCCAACACACACAAACACATTTCCAATGAGATAAAGGGAAGCCTAGCACACAAATTATCACACTAAAGCTTAGGCAGGCTTTACGTGCTGCTGGCTATTAAAGCAAGCATAGATCTCTGTTTGTATGTGTGTCTGTGTGTGTACAGTAGATTAGGTGCAGTTGCAGTGTGTGTTTAGCAGGTGTGGAAGGAGGAAAGTTACATCCCACCTCCACCCTGCCATTCGGTAAAACATCCGTGTGTGTGAGTCATTTCACACAGTCAAACACACACATACACGCGCGCACACACACACCCGTGGATTTTCTGTTTGATCCGCCTCATGCTCAGCTCCCAGCTGACCGCAGCCCCTCTGGAGGGCGTGGTCACTGCGTTTACGCTTCACACAAACCTCGACACACACCACACTCATAACAACTTTTCGCCAAACTTTTCACTGATGGAACTTGCGGAAGCTGTTAAGTAAGGTAACACAGTTTGGGATTTTGTGTTTTTCTCTCTGCGTATTTTTTTAATGAATGTGATTGGGGAGACGTTTTGATCTTAAAGGAGGAAAGTGGCGACAGGTGTCCTCTCGCGCGGTGTTCACGATGAGGAAAGTGCTGCAAAGGCCTATTTTTCCTAAAGGGAGACTTCATGTAAATGATCATGACAAGACGCATTAGTAATCTTCCAAAATATAGCTTCAAATATTACATCCATCTTACTCTTACTGCACTTTACGACAGGAATATTATTATGAAGAAAATATATTGTGCTGTGGTGCACTCGATGCATATCCTGTTTGCAAATGTTTTAACCGCTTGGACAGGAAAATCGCACTCAGCGGTAGCTAGCCCAAAGGCAGTGGCCACATACTCTCAAATACTAATGTTACTATATTATGGTACCGCTAACATGCTTCTTATGTGTCATAATAGTGTTTTATATTGTGTTTTTTCAAGCATTTTGTTCTTCAGGCCTCAAGAATTTATGAAACAACGGAAACACTGAGGACTGTGCTTCTTTTTAAAGGACCATAGGGCAAAAAGGTTAGAAAGCACTGGTTTAGCAAACAAAAATTTTCCCAGTATATTTAATATACTATGCAATATACTGTCTTCTGACTGAGTCAAAAATGAAAATGCCCAAAGTGACTCCTTGCAACATGTACACTAGACATTGTTTAGGCTTCAATCCTTTTTTAAAACCTCTACAATTTTTATTGTAGGTGGAGATCAAGAGCTGCCCTGTGTTTATTTAAGGTCTGTGGTTTTGCTTCTCACTCAAGAGATGGAGGGGGAGCGGGCGCGGGCAGACTCTACTCTTGACTTGAACCACCTGACAGAAGAAGAGCAGTCCACCATCCTGCAGGTCTTGCAGCGTGACTTGGAGTTGAGTCGTCTCGATGAAGAACGTGTAAGGTCAGAGGTGACTATTTATCCTTTTTAGGTGCCAGTTTTGTCCAGTAATATACACTAATGTACAGACAGGGGAAAAATGAAAGGAGTGGAATTGCAGTAACACTTACATTCAAAGAGCACAAGTCACAGTCAAGTCAGAGAATGTGATTGGAGGATAATGTAGTGCACCTGTAAGGAAGAATCTTTGCATGATCTACATAACAGTGACGTGGACCTTGTCTGTGAAATAGTGGATGATGACTTGGCATTATTTTACAAAAACCTTCTTGGACCTAATTAATAAGCATGCACCTTTGAGAAGATTAAGAGTCAGTGGTAAAGACAGCACATGGTTTAATGAATCTATATCATCCTGTTTTAGAGAAAGAGAAAAGGCATGAGCCAAGGCTAAAAGAAGGTACAGTACCAGCCATTAACAAATGCATTAAATTGAAATTTTTAAAAAGTGAATACTACCTTTAACTTTTTAGAAGTTGGTTAAATCTTCATCATAGTCTATAACTGCAGCTGTATCATTTACAAATGATATTATTACTGCTCTGGATGATGAAAAATCACAATTTTTTGATTTACCCAAGTGTTTGATTTAGTGTATCATGGTCTTCTCCTTCAAAGACTGAAATGTATAGGTTTTATTGACCCTGTGCTAAATTGTTTTTTGAAATATTTGACTGGGAGACCTAGATGTATGTTCATTGAAAATCATTACTCTGCACCTCTAACATCAAAGAGGGGTGTTCCCCAGGGATCTTTATTGGGACCAGTTTTATTTTGGTTCATATAAATTGTCTTGGTGTAGGATTAAATCCAGTAAAGGTACACCTCTTTGTAGACGACACTATTATTTATTCAGTGTAGAAGTGGCAATGTATTCTTTAATGACCACTTACTTACCTAAAGCAGTCACTTTTAAAATAAAAATTTTTAATTTTAAAAAGACCAAATGTATGACTTTTACACAATATTGTCCATCTCCCACTGATTGTAAGGTCTTAACACTAAACCTTGAGAGGGTTACCTCTTACAAACACCTTGGCATCTGGCTTGATGACAAGTTGACCTTTGGTGTCCATTGATAACCTCCAAAAAAAGCCCATTTTGTTTTTTTTCCTTTTACTGCTAGAAAAAATATTGGTCCAAAGTACTTTAAATTTTAGATATAGATATTTTCTTTAAAAAACAAACAAAAAACTGGATGTAGTCTATGATACTGCCTTGCGGTTTGCAACTGGTGCAAGCGTCTGTACACATCATTGTAGCTGATATAAATGGTTCAATGGACTGTTTATCCAGTTTATGAAGACATTACTCCAGTTACAGCTATAACACTAGATTGTCAGAGAAAATTCTTCTTATGGTCCCAAACACCTGAACAGAGCTGGGTAAATGTGCCTTTTCCTTTCACATTCTGCATGCTTGGAAGGCAGACTTGGAATCGTTACTCTTTCTTGACATGTTCAAAAGTATTTTCAAAAATAGGTTTTGACAGAACAATGTTGCTTTTAATTTGCCTTGATTTTTAGCCCTGTTTATGTTTTTGTGTGACGTTATCTATTCCCTTTTGTACTTTTATAGGAAACCTTGACCAGGGCTCCCTGGCAAAAGATATATTGTATCTCAATAGGACCTTTCTGGTTAAATAAAGGATCCACATTTTTAAAAAAGCATCATCATTCAGCTTTGTTTCTCCACTCCACTGTTTTCCTTTTAATTTTTATCCAAACCTCAGGAAATGGAGAAGAACTACACATTTTCACAATTTCCCAGAGTAGAAAGTAAATCTTGATGTTTGAGAAGCTTTTTAGCTTGGTAATTATTTTAAACAATAAATTATCAACATTCTTGCCAATTCATTTTCTGTAGATTAGTTAATTGATGAATGAGTTGACTGATTGATTCAGCTGTACTATCAGGGTAGTCAAAGAGAAATAGTACAAAACGGCCTGTTAATGTACATAGAAACTTGGCAAGTCAAACGTTGTGTGTGTTTTTTTTCATTAGTAGAATTGACTGATGTCTTTGTCGTTTATACGCTGAGTACGTTGCATGACAGAAGTGACGACAGTTACTATTTAGTTTGTGACATAGGCTGACATCTGCTGACTTTTTCTCACAAGGAGGTATGCGATTGTTTGCTGTTAAACTTGTCCCTGTGTCACGCTGCAGAAGCCTCCAGGAGACAGGGACAGACGCGACACGTCTGCGCACACTGTCGGGGGCATGGTTCAGTGAAGAGCGCAGCAAACGCCATCGCAACCGGACGTCGGGCAGCGCTCTCGTCCACTCCACCATACAACACAGGAAGACAAAGAGCAGAGGTCAGTTTCCAGTTAATGTGGTGCTACTATTACTGGCCTGTGGGGCTGTTTTTCCTACTGTTGTAGGGATATCCCAGTGAAATGCTCTGCTTGTTGTCATTGTAACAGATGTGCCATTGGCTGGACTGTTTAATGGAGAGATAGGGGAAACCTCCCACAACAACAACAACAACAACACCTCACCTGAGGCCGAGAGAAGACTGACGGACAGCAAAGAAGAGGAGAGTGAAGGGTTAGTGAGGGTGCCTGTCACAGAAAATATAATTTCATTGTGTGTATCTGCATTTTCCAATATCTGTTGTTTTTTCAGGAGTCAAGGAATATCAAAACCTACACCCACACCCAGAACAAAAGCACCCGTTGCACAGGTCTGTGTGGTGTGTACATGCTTGCTTTTTTTTCTGTGCTTGAATTTTTTTTAAACCTAAATATCAATAAGTCCTCTTCAATTCCAGGTTCTCCTGCATAGAAATAGTTCCTCATCATCCAAAGGTACGGAAGTTTCTCTCTCAGTGCCTCTGTAGCTCTCTGGCAGTCTCTTATTATTATTATTATTATTATTATTATTATTATTAACAACTCATCATTCTCCTCATAGAGTGTGAAAGGAAAAGTAATGGCCACTCAGAGGAACCTGAGGTGATTATAACACACACCCATGTTCACAGATTACACTGCTTTGAACGGGCCAATTATTTCACTTCATATCAAAGAGACTCCACCGACACTGAGTATGCAACATTTTTAAAAAGGTTTTAAAAAGATTTAAATCAATCACACATTTCATTCTTTTTACATGCAATAGTAGAGCATAATAAAGTAGTTGAAGGATATGATGTATAGGGAGAGGGTGACAACTGATAGACGATCAGTAGTGATGCTATTTCTCAGAATAATGTGTGTGCGTGCGTGCATGTTTAGGAAGCCTTCAATGGTTACAGCGAGGACACTGACTCCTTAAGCAGCAACCTGACAGAGGCAGATCCAGCTTCACTGAAAACCAGCAGCTCCACCGGCAGCATTCAGTCAGGCTACACGGTACACACACACACGTGCACATTTGATTAACGACGCAAGATGACTCAGCTCTGGACAATGACGTAAGAGCTGATCTCTGTTCTGCGTGTCTGTATGTGTGTGTGTTATGTAGCTCAGTGGAAGCATGATGAGTCTGTTCAGTACGGGGGATTTTGAAGCAGTGGAGGTGAGGGGCCGTATCCAATTCTCATTGGTTTACAACACCCAGAAGGAGGAGCTGCAAGTGAAAGTGTGTCGCTGCGAGGACATTGCATCAGCACGCAAGAACCGCTCTGACCCGTAAGTCAAAGCGCATGGGAGGGTGCATCTTCCAGCGACAACGTCACATACAAAATCAGTCAAAAATCTCTTCTGTGTGTGCATTTTTGACAGGTATGTAAAAGCCTATCTCTTGCCGGACAAGTCGAGTCACAGTAAGAAGAAAACTTCAGTGAAGAAGAAGACCCTAAACCCAGTCTATGATCAGACTCTCCGAGTGAGACGCTCTCATTTACATATTACATAAAGTGGCAGCCTTCACAGAAATCTTCCACTTGTCCTTCAGCTCTCCTCCACGTGTCCCGCACCATGCACTGCAGTCACTCCAGTCTTGAAGATCCTTTCAATAAATTACCAAATTTTTGGTTTACATCTTGTCCCTTATGGTGGCAGAGAAGATGTTATGCTTTGTCCTGCATGGTCTGATTCTAGTTCTCATCTTCTCTAGTATAAAGTCCGCATCGGAGAGCTGCGGAGCCGGACCTTGAACCTGTCTGTGTGGCATGCCGTGTCCCTGGGGAGAAACGTGTTTCTGGGGGAGGTGGAGGTGTCTCTGGGCCTGTGGGACTGGACCTGCACTCAGCCGCTGTGGCAGGACCTGCAGCCACGGGTAGGGAAGAGTAGACGTGAATGATTTGCATGCAAATACACAATCATGCAGTCACATAAATGACCATGTGAGTTTGAATAATCCTTGACAAATATTTACCAAAACACTATGATGCCCTGTGTTTACACTTGTTTAGTATCAGAGTGTCTGTGTGACAGCAGTTTTGCAGCTTTGTTGGAGACACAGAATACAGGGAGGAGTGTCTCTTGTGTCTGGGAGAGCTGAAGGGAGAAGAAGACATGCTGTGAATTTCAACTAAGGTTTTATGTAATCGTAATCTTTTCCTGCTTCCACACTCCTGCCTCCCCTCCCCTTGCTTTTTCTTTCTCTCTCTCTCTTCATGTGTCTTTTCTTCTTCCTTTATCTTTTTCTCTTTTCTCCCCACCCTTTTGCCCCCCATCACAGGTTCATTTGAGTCCAGACTCCATTAGCAGTCGCGGGACCATTATGCTCTCTGTTAAGTTCATCCCAGATGGATTTGAGGGTGAGCAGAGCACACACATATTTGGATACAAGTTATCTCCTACGTCAATCACACATGTCTCATACTGTGTGTGTGTGTGTGTGTGTGTGTGTGTGTGTGTGTAAGGTGGTGGTCTGCCTCTGACAGGAGAGCTTCACATCTGGCTTCGGGAGGCTCAAGGTCTCCTATCCAACAAAGGGGGCCCTATAGACTCCTTTGTTAGAAGGTGTGTCCACTCTGCAACATATTTCCTGATCAGTTATGCATCCTTACAACAATTTTTATTTGTAGAACAGGACACATATATACTGTGTGTGTGTGTGTGTGTGTGTGTGTGTGTGTGTTAAAAAAATCCAAATAATTTCAAAGGGTTCACATATTTTTTTCTGAATTTAACTGTCTCATAATTTTCACCCCACAAGCTACATACTCCCAGATGCTAGTCGGCAGAGTGGCCAGAAGACTCGGGTGGCAAAGCGCTCCATCAGTCCTACCTACAACCACACCATGGTGTATGATGGCTTCCACACCAGCGACTTGAGAGACGCCTGCGCTGAGCTGACTGTCTGGCAGCGTGAAGGGTTAAAAATGCGCGTCCTAGGAGGGATTCGTCTCAGCTGTGGAACTGGTGAGCTGTTAATAATGTCCCCGTTAAGAAGACCAGCCAACTGACACCCTTTGTGACAGATGATATAATAAGCAACCAGATAGGGGAACAGAACTCCCATCCTCACCTTGTTCTGAAAGCAGCAGTCAGTATTGGCGACAGTTAGTTCTCCTGTGCTGCAGTTATGTGGTTACCAGCCTGGACTATGTGGAGGACATCTTATCAAGCACCTCTCAGATCCGGGCTGTTGTTGGCTTTTTAAATTAACTCATGTTTGTCTTGGGCTGTCTTCTATAAGTCAGTAGGCAGACATGACTCTATATGACAAAGGTTCCTTGTAAAATTCAGCTTTGCCAACATCTCCTAATTCCTGTGCTGAGCTGTGATTAGATATCCAGTGCTAACTCATGGGTCCACGGACATTTCCTAGGCTTGTTGGAGGGCAGCCGTTTCTGCATCAGGGAATGGGACATTAAAGGGTTTGTTTGACTGGTTGGTTAATTTTATAGTCAGCTTTGTACCTGGTGCCATAAAAGTAGTTTTATGCTTCATCTACAGCGGTGTTTTGAAGCGGTATAGTGACAGTATTTCAGTCCAGCTCTTCACATTGCATTGCATTTTTTCCTGTTGGCATTTCAGGAATTTCAGATGGCCATGTCATCAGAGGGAGGTCATTTCTAGGTTACCTGAGAGTGCCTCAATGTTACTGTGCATTGCTAAAGAAACAATGCTGATTTAAGATTATGTAGTTGTTGTGAAGTAGTTTGCCTCAATACAGATGGTGTTCTTTTGCTAGTTGGTGTTACTGTGCCTTATTAGTAGCACTCAAGATCAAACCACTGATAGAGCAGCCACCTCTGTCTCATTGTGGGTTTCCTGAAGGAAGACGATGTCAGTAGAGTGGTGGGAACTTTGATGAGGTATTGCTTGTCAAAAACAGATTCTCAACATAACGTTGTAGTAATCAGAAGGCAGGACATACTTCTGTAGACTTTGGGGATTGTTTATTGGTTGTGATTTCTCAATTTGGCTGTCAGGCATTGTCTTGGATTTTAAGCTTAGTTTTTATTCTGTTGTAGAATCAAAAGCTTCTCCAGGTGAGCCTGCACTAAAGATAAAACACGAACACTTGACTTTCATGTCTTATGCAAGAATATATAGTAGGCCTATATGTATACAGTAAGTTTGCATGTACATACAGCAACAGTGGTTGGTTGTTTGGATTGTTTCCATGGCCTCATTAAGCATAGCATCGTTTCTCAGTGTGTGGATTGTGGTGAATGTCTTTAATATAAATATTGAATAATTGTGTGTTTTTTTCATGGCAGGTCAGAGTTATGGGGAGGCCGTCAGCTGGATGGACTCCACCGAAGAGGAGATCGCTGTGTGGACCTCTATGATCGAAAACCCAAACCACTGGATCGACACAACACTACCAATCAGAACTAACCTCTCCCATCGGCCTGAGTGACACACTTTGTCCACAAACACACATTCATGCGTGTGTTCATATAACGGCTGGACTGAAAGGACATCCTCAGCACATCGCCACAATTAACCTCTCTGTCACAATGATATGCACAAGAACTGTTTCTGTTTTTACACACACACACCCAGAGGAGGCAGTAGAGGTGCAATTTTGTGAATTAATGGCATAGATATTTACAATATTTAGTTTTGAAACCAAATCTTTCTGCATTTAAAATGTTTTACTTGTACGTTTTGGTTCGGTCTCTTTTATCTGACAAAAGTGCATTTGTAATCCATTGTAGTTTCTTAATTAAATTTCAAACATGAACTGAATCGCCCTTATCTTATTAAATAAAAATACCACATCAAGCATAGATCATTTTAAGAAATGAATAACCACATATTTATTTAAGGTTGTTTCCCAGCCTTCTCAAAATCTTTGGCACAAAAAATTGGCCTAATCACTTTCACCCTTAAGGAACATGTATGCTAATTACTCAGACAATTATTAAGATTTTGAGGTGTCATTTCTGTAATTGGATGGGACAGAAAAGGCTTGTGGTTACATGTGTTAATTTTATTCCTTTTGATGGATTAGCTAACTACCACCTTGTGGCCAGACTTTTATACTTTTTATACTATACTCAGGCAAATTACAGATGGGGCAGTGAAGCATAAGGTCAAGATCACTAGAACATAAGAGACAATGTTTTGTAATTTGTCCCGAGTTTTGTTTAATTTTTTTTAACGTCAAAAGAATCTATGTACATCAGGTAGCCATCCAACCTTTTAACATGAAATGGCGTGAAGCATTTATCCAGTGAGTCAGAACTCCTGTCCAGCAGATGGCGATCTTAACATTCCTGCTTCGGGTTGATTTGAGACCGGACGTGGAGCTATTTGGCTTCCAAAATAAAGTTTCAATAAGACAGACAGTTGTGCTGTGTCTTAACCCTTTAAATGTGAGGTGACATCAGTTCCATCTTTTTTTGGTGACTTGATGCCAGACAATGAAGCTCCTGTAGGCTACCAGTGTGAAACTGTGCTTCAATAGCCTAATTCCCATTCTTCAAAAACCTTTTAGGAGATACTCAATATTTATTACTGGATATATTTAGTCATTTTGCCAAGATCTTCATGTTTTGTATGAAAACTATGAGTCTCCAGGAAAAAATTAATATGGGGCCTTATGTAGAGGGACCCCTCAATGAGGAAGCTCTATTGGGATCCTGTATTTTTATTTGATTGTTTAAATGTTTTTCTTTGTCGTTTTTTTTTTGCTAATTTGAGATTCCTAGATAAGGCTACTGCAAATTAATTGACAATGAATTTGGACCCTTTTGGATCCCTTTAGAATCAATTTAGGTCTAACAGCTACTTCACCCAGTGCTTTGGTTATATTCATATAGGGCCTATCCTGTAAAATTACACGATAAATGATCAGTTAGATCAGATTTCCTGTGAATTTAACATAATTGTAAACCAACGTAGACCGCAAGCCTGATTGAAAGCCTGCTAGAAGACTCCCTTCAGAGAGAAGTAGGGCACCCAGGCACACACAGCTTTACCCTAACTGCAATCCGTCTTGACGACCTACGCTTCACATTTTAAATATGGTGGGAGACGAGGACAGTCTCTTTAGGAATGTGCAATAAATCGACAGAACACAGGTCTTTCTGTATGGAGTTTGCATGTTCTCCCCGTGTCTGCGTGGGTTTGCTCCGGTTTCCCCCACCATCATAAACATGTTGGGTTCTTCAGTCAGTGTTCTGCTTTATGTAAGAGCCGCTGAACGTAACTGTTAGCCTGCTGTCCATTTTCATTTGTGCAAGTTATACCCCCGCGCGGTGTCCATGGCGACGGTATGTCAACACAGCCCCTGTCGGAGGACGTCGTGCCTGTGCGGCTTCCCAACTATAAAAAAAAAAAAAAAAAAAACCCCACCGAAATGTCCGCTATGAACAGAAAGTTGATACAAACTCTCGCTGAAACTATCTCAAAACAAGTGGAGCACTGTGAGTATTCAGTTAAAACTTATGTAAGCGGTATCTTATGCTAAGCTAGTCTGTTGTACCAACAGGCGCACCTGCCGCTATGCCTATGTTAAGTTGTTTTTAATTAAGCTACCATGCAAGTACATAAAATGTAAATATCATACAGCTTATATAACTGCTATTCCAACGACCCCAGTCAATAAAGCAGAGGTTGAGTGCCTCATCCGAGAGTTTAACGTGCTTCTTGGGGAGCCGACAATCCCTGGAAGAGCAGCTAACGGCCTGGACAGAGGGAAGTTCAGGAGCATATTGCACAACATCTTTGGGATGACCGACGACATGATCATGGATGGAGGTATTCTGTCTATTGCTCGATCTATATATATATAAAAAAAGAAGACATTTGCTAGTGGCACTTTGATGCTGTAGACAAGTATACAGGATGACAAATGTATCATATTTGGAAGGACAAAACATATAAGATTCACAAAAAACAGTTTGGATGCAGAGTAGTTAACATGTTACATATTACATGTCCTCCAGTCTTCAGGACATTTGACAAAGACAATGATGGCTTCGTAAGCATGAAAGAATGGATTGAGGGACTGTCTGTTATTCTTCGAGGGACCTTGGATGAAAAAATAAAATGTAAGCTCTCAACCTTACACCCACACAAATAAAAATTCAGTTTTACAACCTGTAATGCAGGTAATAACGCTTTCCTCTTTGCATGGCTCAGACTGCTTTCATGTGTATGACTTGAACGGTGACAACTACATCTCCAGAGAGGAGATGTTTCACATGCTGAAGAACAGCCTCATCAGACAGCCCACAGAGGAGGACCCTGACGAAGGAATCAAAGACCTGGTGGAGATCACACTCAAGAAGATGGTGAGGGGATGGATGCTGCTGACCTATTGGTTTAAATGTGTATACCTGTATCTCACTAATGTATCAACACTACAAACACATTTTTGTTTATTTTTTTAGGACCATGACCATGATGGCAGACTATCGTTCGATGACTTTGAAAAGGCAGTGAGAGAGGAGAATCTATTACTTGAGGCTTTTGGAACATGCCTCTCTGACACCACGGTAATCAGAAATGAAAGGGTGTTTAAAAACTGTAATAACTTAAATTTGTAAGTCAGAAATGGTTAACCTGACATTGTATTTTCCTCTGTTTTCAGAGTATCGAGACATTTGAGCAGCGTGTATTTCAGGAACAGCTGGAACTATGAAGATATCATATTCATGCCCATTTTCAGTTCTTTAATAAAAATGTTAACAGCTGTATGTATTGTGATGCAAACACTTATAAAAAAACCAAACAAAGTAGTTGTGATCTCTGCATAAAGTCCAGCGCCAAGGCAGCTCGCTTGATCAAATACGACGACGTGGTTTCACCTTCTTCTCCACTGGTTTGAGGTCAGGAACTGATCCCACCTGAGAAAAATTACACAATTGTTTTTACTGACATGAAAACAGGCATTTAGACCACAGTGAAGAACTTGTTTTATTCTTTATTCCACATCAATTTATCAGCTACCTGTTTCATTGTGTTCCTGATCAGGCTTACAGTTGTGTTCAGTGACTTATCCTCCATGTCCAGTTTAGGTGGTTCTGGTAGCTTTGGCCCAATAAGTGGCTCATTTTCTCTAGTCACAACAGCTGGTGAATGCTCCGCAACCTCTCCCATCTTACGTTTCCTGTTCTCCAAGTGTGTCGTCCTCGGGACAAATTTGACTGCAGAAGACTGATTTGAGATCAGTCTGTGTTCTGTGCCTCGGGCGCTGTCCAAAGAGGTTTGGCTGGAGCTTGAACTCTGCACTGGCTCCTGTTTTGTGTCAATGATGGCATTATGTAACGTCCCCATTTTGTCCTCTGTTGGTATAGTCACATGTTGATATTTATGTCTGTAGTAATGATGTTCCTGGGGAGGTAATGGCAGTAGAGGAAAGCCTGAATAATGGCTGTTGTTTGAAGTCTCCCGTGTCTTGTCATTATCAGTGGTTTCATCATGTCTGGTGATGATCGCCTCTGATGTGGAGGCCGTTGTGTCTGATGATGTGTGCTCCTGGTTTACTGCTTTCTTCTGTTCCTTTTCTTTTGCTTTAATAATATTACAGAAAAACAACATAGTTCAAGGTCAGGTTAATTTGTCATCCAACTATGTACAACTGACAAAAGATCAGACAAAACATTAAAAAATCTACAGAAAATATGAGTGCAACAGTTCAAATAAAAGTGCACTGAAAGTATAAGAACCACATGAAATAAAGTATATACGTATATGTACAAACAGGGCTGGGCGATATGGCCAAAAATGTTATCACAATAACAAATTTCATACAATTCGATATTGATAATTATCAGGATAAATGTCAAATCATTATTTCTTTCATTATTATTTCAAGTTTAAAGGCTGATTTTTGCTCCTGAGTCAAAGTTGAAGAAAGCTATTATTCTGGTCAAACACTTGCCAAACAACAAATCTGAGGTAGAACATTCAAAACAATTATAATTAAAATCTATTTTCAACAAATATGCATGGGTAATCCCTTTTCCTCCACAAAATGAATATCTTAATATAAACATTAAGTGTGAATTCTTTTGTGATTCAAATGAATTACATCAAACATTTATTGAACATTTGATATATTGTTATTGAGGAAAACTATATTGTGATAATTATCATTATTGTTTTTTTTTGCCCATCCCCAAAGTATCTATGCACCTACCTATATCACATCAATTTATTAGTGTTTTCTTTAAGAGTATTCCTATATTAGATGTTAAAGTTTACCTTTATTCTGAACAGCCCTTATTACATATCTCCTCCTGTCCTGCAGCTTTAGCCTGGTGTCTTCCACTGTCTCATATTCTGGGACGTAGCACACATGCAGCACACCACCATAGAAACTTTTCTCATCCATGTGTCGTTTGGCTGCTCTGGACAGAAGAGAAAAAATGTAAAGCAAATTATTTAGCACGTCTTTTCAACTTTGCCAGTATAATGAACTAGGTAAATTACATCCTGAACCTGGCACTGGTGAGTTTCTGGAACTTGACAAGGTAGACCTCCGTGAACTCTTCAGCAGGGTACTCGTCCAGGGGCCTGTACTCCTCCACAGCTCCGTACAGTGCACACAGCTGGATCAGCTCTGTCATAACTCCAATGGCTGGGACCCCTTGCACCATCAGGTAACGAGACTCTAAATTGATGGTGTACACCTGATAAAGGACAAGACAAATATGATGACACTTGCTCTGCAATGTCTTTGCAATACTCAGTTAGGTAATTTGTATTGTCCAGGCAACATTCTGGATGTTTACCTTCTAGATAGGAGTCGCAGCGAGACAGTTTAAGATACTTTGTGTGTTTCTTACTTATACTTAGCATAGTCTTACCTTAACAGCTTTCGCTTTCCTCCCGTCTCTATATTTTGGTCGAGAAATGCATACTTTCCGCTGTTCGTGGTGTTTATAAACCTCTGGGACGCCCCAACACCCTGAACTGTTTCTAACAGGTGCCGCCATTTTTACGGAAAGCATTTTTGTGGTTGACGCACTTCAAAATAAGAGCTCATTCTCCCTTGAATACCTATGCTTCAATTGCATGTCCATGTGTAATATCTTATTTTGAAAAATGCTGAGCTCGATAATCACCTGCTTTGGTCTAGCTGAATGGAGTAAGAGTTTGTTACACATAACACGTTAGCAGAGCAACCTACCTTGCATTTACAGAAGAGAACAGGCTATGTGAAAATTATGTTCAGTAACCAAGGCATCCAACCCGTAACTGTTGTTTTTAGCAACACGAAAAACTGCTTTCTTCATCTCCCCTCCAAGTTGGTGTCGCATCTTTCCCTGAACGAGGTAAGTTAGCTCAGCTAACTGTCAGTGCCAGCTAACTTAGCTAGTGGAAGTTTAGTTAAACACCGTTCAGGCAGAAGCCTGTTTACAAAAATGTTTGTTAACATGTGCTGTTCATTTCCTTTAAAAAAAACAAAACAGATTTAATATTGCTGTCAGTTAATTTCTGAGACATTTTAGTCAAAGCTGTCTCCCATTGTTTACATTGCGAAAGTACTCAAGGCTATAGGCTCATTATGTCTACGTACCCCTTAACATAAACTGTTTAGGGCCACATGAAAGGCCTGCTGAAGACATCTTCAGAGAGATCTACCAGAAGACTGGACACACTTAACTGACTGTATGTCAGTCAGAAAAAAGGCATCTGTCAACATAAGGGGGCAGAAAAGAGTTGAGTGATGTCAGCAGAAGAAATGGGAAATTTAATGCATGTAGGTTCTTATTTGGTTTCATAACAGTTTATGCAATATTCACTGTTAACACATATCAGGAAGCAGATAAAAAACATTCTTATCAAAGATGCCAGTATTTCCAACTATTATTCCAATTTCACTTGACAATTTCTGTAGTAGTTCCCTTGCAATCTCACTTGGTGGTGACAAAACTTTATGTTTGAGATGAAACAGGAGACTGGGTACTGCATGGTCTTGCATCTTGTTTTTCTGTGATCTATTAGCATCTTTATAAATCCATAAAGACCATTATCTTTTTAGATGACAATTGTGTGGAATAATTTGAAGGAGCGCGAGATAGTCCCCATGACAATTGTACAAACTTTTCTCCTTTTCTATTTGAGAATTATTGGTTCAACCCTGCAGTGGTTAGGATTGTTGCCTCACAGCAAGAAGGTGGGTTTGAACCTTGGTCGTCCCAGGCCTTGCTGTGTGGAGTTTGGATGTTCTTCTCATGTCTGCGTGGGTTCTCTCCGGGTGCTCCGGTTTCCTCCCACCATCCAAAGACATACAGGTTGAAAGGAAAATTGGTGTCTTTAAATTGCCCTTAGGTGTAAATGTGCGAGTGTGAGTGGTTGTTCATTTCTATGTGCCCTGTGATGGACTGGCGACCTGTCCAGGGTGTACCCTGCCTCTCGCCCTGTATCAGCTGGGATTGGCTGCAGCCCCACGTGACCCTGCACGAATAAACTGGTATAGATTATGGTTGGAAGGAATCAAACTTGTTAGTTCTGTCATTGATTGCTTGGGCTGTGCAAAACAAGGAGAACCTGTTTGCTGGCAGACAAAGGAGGAAGATTAATTAACAAAACTTTAATAGATAAAGTGCCATGGCAATCAAAACATACAGCAAAAACTGCACTTTGCGTGTCTGTGTTTAGACCCAGGCTTTGGAGTTGTCCTCAGGCAATGGAGCTCCAGTGTTCCTCAGCTGGACTCTAAGCAGAACCTCTTCCAGCCTTGACAGCCAGGAAGTGGAGCTGTGTCGACAACTGGGAGAAAAGCTGGGTCTGAAAGATGGAGAGCAGGTAATTTGTTCCATGCTCTCTGTCTCCCACCTGAACAGTTCATAATCTCTGTGTGATACATCCTGACAGTCTTTTGACAGTGAATACAGACTAAGTGTTTGTATTGACTGAATGGTTGTGTGGTTTCCCTCAGGGCTTCCTGAGACCATGTCACCAGGTCTCATCAGTGCATCAAGTGTTTGTGGAGCCTCTGTCATCTGATGACTGGGAAATCTTGGTGGGTGAGCCTAGTGACTTAAGTAATTTGTAGCCAGGGATGGAAAGAGTACTAGTAAAATTACTTGTGTAAGAATGTACTCTGAAAAAAGTGAAAAGTACATCAGTTAAAAGGCTGGACTATACACAGAGCCCTTATATCCAACCAGTAAGTACATTTCCAATAGAGGGGCACTCCTTTGGGTACAACTGACTATCAGTTCTAAATGAGCTATAAACACTGCGGCAGGTACAGCAAGCATTATTAAAGTATATAAATTTAATAACCTGCCACTACAAAGGAATACACCAGGGACAGATTTGTGGCCCCAAACCACATGAAACAATATTTTTTTCATCTGTTTTCTGTGACTGACACCCCCAGGAGCTCCACAGTGCCACGCTGGAGCAGCAGCTGTTGGATCAGATCAGAGTGGTTTTCCAAGATGCCGTGTTTCCTGTGTGGGTGGACAGCCACACAGTTATCTACATCAGAATAGGTCAGAGTTAATACAATAATTATTGTCTTTTGTCAGTACCAAATATTGTTTTAAATCTGCCTTGTGTTCTTCCAAACTGAGAAATGAATGGGGAGAAGATACTGAACATGCACTCTGATGCCTGTAGAGTTTGTGTCAGTGCTCTGAAAGACATATTTATGAAGACCAAAATGTAATGTAATGTTCCATTATGTAGGCCTATTAATGCTAAAACATTGTGTTGGTCTGTGGTTTCCACTAGTTAAGCCTACTAACTTAAGCAATAGTTCAACTGCTTATGATTACATTTTCTGTATTGGTCCTACCGAGGGACAATATGAATGAACATAGTATGATCTGTTTTTAACTCCGTGCAGCATCGCTTTTACCATCTGTTCCGTATGGTCGCTTGGAGCAGTTCACAGAACTAGTTGTCTCCGCTAAGAGCCGCGCTGGAATTGGTAACCTCAGTGATTCTTCTGAGAGAACCGGCGAGAAGCAGCATTTCCACAGACAGCAAAGTATGGATCTTTCCTCTCAATCAGGAAAGTCATTAGAAAGTCCCTCCCCTTTCCCTCAAAGCCACCAGTGGGGTGGCATAGCTGACCTGAAGAGCCTGCTACGCTATATGATAACGGGTACTTATAACCCAGTTAAAGAGCTGCCACCTGTACCCGAAGTCCCTGCCCTCCTCACTGACTCTATCTACAGAGTGTGCGGTGCACCTCCAGACTCTCTTTCCACTATAAGCCACGTTGCAACTGGTGTCATTCATTTATTTCCTTGGAGCCATGGAATGAATGCTGGGCTAGCTGGAGGAGGTCAGTCTCCAGTGACTTATGGCCTGCTTTCCAAAGTTGTCTCCCCTAAAGAAGCAAGGGACAAAGCCAAGCAGGCCATGGAGAAGAAGAAGGCCGCAGGAATTAGTAAAGTTGCTGCTACTGTGGGTGAAGGAGAGGAGATGAAAGAAGAGGAAGCCATGGTGGTCAGGGTGGTGTGCCATAGTACTGAGAAGCTAGTAGGCAAGGAGATAAGTCGCAGCAAGGGAGAGATCCACAGTGGAAGGGTATGGGTGAGTATTAAGTCTTGTTCCATTTGTCCACTTTAACCTGTGATTAATATGGGTCCTCTGCTTCTTTATATGCCGTAATATATCTCTTATAAAAAATGTGATTTTCAGATCCCACAGCCCCTGACTATGAGGTTGAATATCATCCCACATTCAACAATTAGAATTAAGCCAGTCAAATCAACTATCAAAGTAGCCTCCTCTATTCGCCTGCAGCCCCTGAAACCACTGGTGAGTGGTTACAGCGTGGTGTAAAGAGATTCTTTTTCATTTCATTTATTCAACTGTTAGTCCTCAAATCGCTAATTTGTCAGTGGTGCGTAAGATTATATCTACCCCTTTCCCTTGTGTCCATGTGATTTCTTCAGCCTGAGGAGGAGGATGATGATGAGATCCAGACAGCTTTCCTTGGTTGGCTGCACACTCAGAGTCACGAACCTTTAGCCTGTCTGACTGCACGGTCTGGCAACATCATCCTACATGGAACTGATGGTGATTCATTTGTACTCTTCTTTTATAAGTTCTTTTTAAATTACCAATATACTGAATACCAGAGAGACTAAAAATCCTAATTATGCACATATTAAAATGCATTACTTAAATACAGTACTTAGAGCTGCAATAAAACATTCTTATTTTTATTATTTCATTTTTATAGCAAAGTTAGAGTTTGCTTTAACTGTGCTGAAACCAGAACCGGAGAGTGACCCTCCAGACCAGCTGTTTTTACTAGCATCTGCTGTTGTCCAGAAGGGAGACATACAGGTACACATGTTAATATTGAATATGCTTGATGGATTGCTGCATGCAATTTTTATCCTGTGGGTTCTGTCAAACCCTCTGTGGTGCTGCCATGTTTTCAAAAAGCTCATACTTGCCTGTTACCTACAGGTAGACAGAAAGCCAGTGACCGTGACAGCTGTGAAATCTGTCACTGAAACGGCCAACCCAGAGCTTCCCTCCCTCAGTATTCTTGGGTACGTGTGTTGCTATTTGTTAGCTTGTGTATCTTTGTCAGCATACATTTCTCTCTGTATGTCTCACTCCTTTGTCTTTCTCCAGTGGGATAGATGAGCTCAGTAGGACTGGTTTTGAGTTCATCTCCCACAGCCTTCTGGGTAGTCCCCTCTCGAGAGAGTTTGGTACGACTGGGCGGGGACTCATTGGAGGAGCTCTACTTATCACTGGTGCTAAGGTATCTCTTTACATTACCACAATACTACTCACAACACAAATATTTCTACACTTTACAGAGATTAAATTAAAATAGAAAAGAAGTGATGTAGAGTGCTGATTTTGTCGTCAGACAGCAAAGTAACAACATACTGTAATGCATTCTTATCCCTAACAATATTGTTTTGTATAATATGTTAACTTGTTGTTATGTATCCTCATAGGGAAGTGGAAAGAGTACTCTGTCTCGAGCCCTCTGTAGAAAAGCTAGAGAAGATCTGGATGCACATGTGGAGGTGGTGGACTGCAAAAAGCTACAAGGTTAACAGATTAACTCCATGAACATAGTTTGTGTCAAAGAAAAGTAGCTGAATGGATTTATCATTACAGGAATTGTGATTTTTCTTTTCAGGCAAAAGGACAGAAACAGTGAGACAGATGCTGCAGGATATTTTTGAACAGTCGGAGTGGAGGCAGCCTTCTGTTGTTCTCCTCGATGACCTGGACCATATAACTGGGGCACCAAACTCACCAGAACATGAGCATGGCCCAGAGGCTCTGCTGCAGCAGCACATTGCCCAGAGTAAAACATTCCTTCTTTATTTTGTGGATTTCTGTTTTCATGCTCACAGATAGGCTTGAAAATGATTCCAGACCTTGAAGCTGATTCCTCTCGTCTGTCTGTGGCTGCAGGTCTGAAGGATGCGGTGGATGAGGTGGTGGTTCACTCCAGTCTGTTATGTCTGATCATCACCAGCCAGAGTGAGCACTCCCTCCACTCCTCCCTGACCGAGGTGCAGGGGTCCCACTTCATCCAGGGCTTTGTGCACATCCAGCCACCAGACCAGGTCAACACACACGCACACTCACACGCAGACACACACGCACACTCACACGCAGACACACACGCACACTCACACGCAGACAGACACACACACTCACACGCAGACACACACACACACTCACACGCAGACAGACACACACACACACACACTCACACGCAGACGTGCACTCACTGGTAAGGTAAAAAGTAAAAACCAACAGCCATCTTGTTTGCTATCCCCTATAGGCTCAAAGAGCAGAAATCCTGCGCCACCTGATCCTCAGAAAAACCAGCCTATCTGGGGAGACCTTACAGACTCTAGACCTGGAAGCTGTTGCCAAGGAAACAGAGGGATACACGCCCCAAGACCTAGGACTACTGTTGGAACGGGCTGTGCATGCCAACACTGTGCAAAGAGGACACAGTGACCAGGGTACCAAAATACTTTGGCTACGTAATAAAGTTTCATGTTGTTTATTTAAAGTTAAGCGCTTCCAGGTGTGTTAAGCTAATGCTAGTTTATTATGCCACCTTCACATTATTTTTTTGCGTTCCGTGTCTCTCAGGTGTGTGTCTGTTGTGGAGGGACTTTGTGCAGGCTCTCAAGGGATTTACGCCCCCCTCGCTTTGGGGTGCAGACCTCCACACCCCAAGTGGAGTTGGGCTGGAGAAGGTGGGGGGGCTGAGGGAGGTGCGACAGCAGCTAATGGACACCATACTGCTCCCTGCTAAGGTCAGTGTCAGTGTAACTAATCACAAGACAGCCAGGTATGTTCTCAGTCAGATGGAAACACCAGGAGGAACAGAGGTAATACAATTAAATAATAAATGTGAATGTGATGACAATGCATTTATCACCAATGATCTTTTCACCATAATTGCTGTTGATTATTGTAAAGATGAGCTATTTTTAGTCTCAACACAAGTGGGAGTGATAGCAGTTAAGTGATGAATGTACAATTAAAAAAACTGAACACTAAGGACTTTAATCCAAAACTTATTTATTTAAAGTCAAATTAACAAGGACTTTCATCACTAATTAAGTTAACTTTAAATTCCAAATAATCAGTTTATTTCATTGTGTTTCATAAAGAACAATAAATATGTTTAAATATGTTTATGATGTTGGATAGAAAGAGGTGATAAATGATGGTGATTTGATTCAGCGGATCATTTGCCCATTTAAAACTGAGTTTTCAAGTTCCAACTTAACTTAACTTTTTTCTGATTACATATTAGTTACTTCCATGTCTTGTATTTATTGTCTTGTGATTGCATGTTTTGATTTGATCTATTTGTGTTGTGTAATTTTTGATGCTGCCAGCCCTCGTATTCTTCAGTCTTTCTGTTGCAATTGTTTTGTTTCAAACCTGACCCATGGCCTTCAGGGCAGAGTACGCCAACACGTTTATGCACAAGTCTTATAACACATTCACTGTTCTTTTTAGAAGAAAGTGCACTTCATACAATAGAGGATACCTCAAAGTTAGTATGTAGTCACTGTTTTGTGTAGTCTTCTTCACGGCGCCTTGTTGGCCAAATAAAGTTTACCCTTGATTAAAGTTATCTAGGCTTAATAATATAAAAATGACTATAATAATAACTACTTGCAAAAAAATAACCACCATACAGGAAATTATCAGACTTTTTATATTTTCTTATTTTACATGGATGTGAGAATTTTTTTTACACAGATAAAATATAATAAAAAAAAAATTCTTAGTAATTGATTGTGGGTCTTTGGTGTGTTTCAGTACCCCATCCTGTTCTCCAGTCTCCCTATCCGCCATCGCTCAGGAATATTGCTGTATGGAGCTCCTGGGACAGGGAAGACCCTGCTGGCCAGGGCTGTGGCCAAAGACAGTGGTATGAACTTCATTAGCATCAAGGTAGGCTGGGATTTGGTTCTGATAGTCAAAGAAGAGCACTGTCTTGTTTTTTTAATCAGGGCAAATGTATCGTCAGTGACACAGCATAATTACTTCTCTGTAGGGACCCGAACTTCTGAGCAAGTACATTGGAGCAAGTGAGCAGGGTGTCCGTGATGTCTTCCAGAGGTTAGTGAACATTTTCACACACTCACTTTCTTATGACTCCAGCAGACCTTTATAGTTGCTAGTTATAATGAGTAACATCAAATATTTATAGCAATTGTAAGCTCCACTAACCATTCATGGAATAATTTCCTTTCCTCTGTTTGCTCCAGGGCCCAAGCTGCCAAGCCATGCATCCTGTTCTTCGATGAGTTTGACTCTCTGGCCCCCAGGAGGGGCCACGACAGCACAGGCGTAACCGACCGTGTGGTCAACCAGCTTCTCACCCAGCTGGACGGGGTGGAGGGACTGCAGGGTGGGTCGCTTTTTACTGGAAAGAGATGAGAACAGTGATGCCCCTCTCATTTCTGTATAGTAAATATGAAACTACTACCAGCTGCCGGTTAGCTTAGCATAAACAGTGGAAACCGCTGGACTGACTCTGTCCATGTAATTAGTGAGCTCTAGAGGTGTTGGTAGGCAGATTATGTTACCTGTGGACGGAGTCAGGCCAGCCGTTTCCCCCTGCTTCCAGCTAGCTAAGCTAAGCTAACCGTCTGCTTTCTCCAGCTTCATATTTATTAGACAGACATGAAAGTGGATATGCATACAGGTATTTCCCTAAATGACAAACTACCCCATTTAATCTAAATAAATAAAAATCCTTCTTGCTTGTGTTTGTAGGAGTATATGTGCTTGCAGCCACCAGCCGTCCAGATCTTATTGACCCGGCCCTGCTGAGACCTGGACGACTGGACAAGTCCCTCTACTGCCCGGCTCCTGATCTGGTCTGTTGAATTGAAATGAGTCAATCACTTTCATTTCAATCATCATTTTATAACACTTTAATAACACTACACTGTGATTTAGATATGTCTCCGTGCTGAAATCTTCAGCGACGATTCCTTGGTATTAAATCCAACCATTGACAATATTTCCAGGAAGCTCGTGTGGAGATCCTGAAGGCTCTGAGCGCTGGTGTCGCCCTGGCTGCTGATGTGGACCTGGAGCAGCTGGCAGCATCGACTGAGCAGTTCACTGGGGCAGACCTGAAGGCCCTTCTTTACAACGCCCAGCTGGAGGCTATCCACAACAGCCTGGGCTCCAGCACACCGCATGTAAGTCTATTGTAGCGAAAAGACACTGAGGAGCTCATTGTGTTGAAATGGGCTTGCCTTAGGATAACAAAGCAGGAAGGCAGGGAACTGTTGACCAGTCCATTTTCAAATTATTTATGGTTCATTTTGAAACAGCCAAGCAATTTTTCGTCCCTCAAGGCTCTGCTGGTTAGTCCATTATCAGTTTACAACATAATTCAAATTTATCCCCAACCATGGTTGACAAGGACATGACTGAATATGTTAAACAGCAAAGGCTGCCAGAGGCAGAATGAGCTTAAATCTAATCTATCTTAAACTGCAGTTACACATTGAAGCCACTTTGCTTGTTCATATGGTTTTTGGGCACCTCACAGCCCGTGCTTGCGTATTTAAACTTTCGCCCTCTGTTTCTGGGTAATAATCAGGAGCTGACCTCTGACAGCGACATGAGCCTGTCCTCTATGATCTTCCCAAACACCAGCAGTGGTTCAGATGATTCAGTAGGGGAGGGAGACCCAGGCATGGTCTTGGACCAGTCCTTGGTTCTCCCAGAGCCAAGCCAGCTTCAAGCAGAAGACGAACAACATCGTAGCAACGTCTGGAGACTCTACTTTGGAAGCTCCTATGAGTCAGAGTTCGGGAATTCACCGATTTCAGGACTGGTGAGCAGTGTTGGCAAAATAACCAGAAAGTCTTTTATATTTTATTTTCATTTAGGCACAATCAAGTTAACCAACACATCAAAACATACATGAAACGTCAACCTAGTCTTAAACCCCACCCCATCCTTAAAATGCAATGCACCAGTTCCTACACAACAGACTATATAATTATATACATGATATTCATAATAATTTATATTATGTAATGTAATAATTCAATTTTATTTATATAGCGCCAAATCACAACAACAGTTATCTCACAGCGCTTTTCATAAAAGAGCAGGTCTAGACTGTACTCTGATGTTATTTACAGAAGCCCAAGAATTCCCTATATAGTAATACTATACATACATTGTTTATCAAGCAGAATGGTATATAATTATCACACTTTATTTTATTTGTTTAATCCATCAACAAATCATTACACCACATTCCTCCCAACTAAAACTACAAGTCATTTTTACAATTCTGTCCTGACTTCAGTCTTCTGCAGCGATACTGATACCTGTCACAGTATGCATACACATTAACACAGGCCTCTGTCATTATGACTCAATGGTTTAGAAACAGTTATTTCTCTCCCAACTGTTTTTTGTTTCTGTTCCGTTTTCTCTCCTCTGCAGAACTCCCAGTGCGTCTCTGGATCCAACTCCATGACCCATGACTTCACAAGGGCGTCAGTTCGTGACTCTTGTGGCTCACACCCTCCTGCCTACATGTCCTCCCTCCGGAGCGGGTATGAAGAGCTCGGTCCGGGGCAGCTGGAGTGCCTACAACAAGACATTAATAACATCAAGAACAACTACAGGAGAGCCAACGTAAGTGACAACAGTGGACAAGAAAATATCTAAATGCTGTGGTATTCTGATTATTTATTTCATATTTTCCATTTAATATCATCGCTTTCTATACGGCTTTGTTCAATACAGCAAGATAAATAGATAGATACTTTATTCATCCCTGAAGGGAAGTTGCAGTAGCAGTGGTTTACATAAAATCAAAACTCAAATCAAATCAAAATAAAAGTCACAGTTACACGACATATACAACTTACACAAACCATGCATGGGGGGAAAAAAGGCTGAAACATTTGTCTCTGAGACTACATCTGTGCAAATGAGTGTAGCAGTATGTGCATTGTCATTCAATACAGCAATATTTAGTATTCAGTTACATTCTATAATACTTGTTGATATATTTCATTAGAATTTTCTATTGATTTAAAACTAGCTTATTCTATTCTACATTACGTGTGTGTGTGTGTGTGTGTGTGTGTGTGTGTGTGTGTGTAGGAGGAATGCGTTCGGGTGCACACAGCCTCCACCCAGCCAGGCCTGCTGCTGCGTCCGGCTCATGTGATCTCCGCCCTGGCTGCGACCAGACCGTCTCTTAGCAAAGCCGACTGGAACAGATACACAAAACTGTGAGTATGAGGACACAGGACTGCACTGCACGGCAATACAAATGACACTTATGATGATATACGAAACCATTGTAACAAAAAAAATAAAACAAAAAGTTTAAACTACAGGAAGTAAAGACATTGTTTCACAGCTGTCCATTTATTTTTGGAACAAAGCGAGGTTCAATTGGCTGTGAAATGTATAAAGCATATAATGAGTCACTTAGTCTCACCTACAGGAGGAAATGAAAAACATTTGAAAAATTGGTGTTTCATAGCTGTTGCTAAGTAGCAGCAATAGAGGAATATGAATCATTATAATTCCTCTCACAGTATTCAGCATTTTTTTATTGAGTTGAATTACTTTGTTGCTGAGCTGGAGAAAAGAAATCACACAGTCTGTTGATTTGTCTCGTGTCAAGTGAATGAATAAATATATTATTAAAGTTAGAAAAAACTTCAGGGCAATGATGTAGGTCCTTATTTATGTTAGAGTAATCTATCAAAGTTGGAATTTTATGGTAACTTAAATGTAAATGCTCCGTACTTGTATAGCGCCTTTCTAGTCTTTTCGACCACTCAAAGCGCTTTTACACTACATCCATACTCTGAGCCTAACTGCTCAAACGGAAAGTAACATTCACATTCATACACTGGGGGTTCAGTATCTTGCCCAAGGACACGCAACCAGGGGGAGCCGGGGGATTGAACTGCCGACCTTCCGATTAACGGCCAGCCCGCTCTATCTCCTGAGCCACAGCCGCTCCTGTTTAAAACTTAACAGTTTTAAGATATTACATGTAGTAGTTATAAAACTGTTTTAATAAATCTTTTTTTGTTTTAAGGTATGAAGCATTTGGAGGTGCAGAAGACGGAAAATCTCTTCACTCAGTCACATTTCAACCTGGACAACGTGTGACTTTAGCTTGATCAGACATGTTGGTTTGAAAATTTGTTATTTTGATGTTAATAATTAATAAAAAGCAATGATTAATTGGTCCTTTAACAATCAGTGGGGTTTAACAGTTCCAGAGTATTGATGACAATGTACATAAATCATATGTAATAATGTTTAAATTTTTCTTACTGACTTGATTATGAATGAGACATTCATCTACTTGAAATGTAATTACTGTACATATGTACAATGTCAGAGTATTAATTATGTATTGTTAAAGTAATTAAAAAAAATTGTACAAATATTTCCTGCATTACTTGTCTAACTGAATTTTATGTTTACAGCCACTGCATTATACAGTCTCCTCCAAAAGTATTGGAACGGTATGGCAAATTCCTTTGTTTTTGTTGTTCACTGAAGAAATCTTGTGTTTAAGATCAAAAGATGAGTATGAGACAAGAATTCAGAATTTCAACTCTCATTTCGTGGTATTCACATCTAGTTGTGTTAAACAGCTCAGGACATACCACCCTTTGTTTGAACCCACCCGTTTTTTAAGTGAGCAAAACTATTGGAACATGAATGACGGATGTTTCTTGTTGCCCAGGTGTTGCCTTTTGGGTTGATTGTCCAAACATTAAATAGCTCTGCATGACTAGTCTAAGTTTTCCTCTGTGGTTCAAACCTAAAGACTGCATTTCCTGTTAAAGAGGATAAACCAACATGACCAGAGAGCTGTCTGTGGGAGAAAAGCAAGCCATTGTCAAACTGAGAAAAGAAGGAAAATCCACCAGAGTCATTGCACATACATTGGGCACAGCTAGCACAACAATTTGGAATGTCCTGAAAAAGAAAGAAACTTATGGTGTACTGAGCAACAGACGTCGAACAGGTCGGCCAAGGAAAACAACAGTAGTTGATGACAGAAATATCGTGAGAGCTGTGAAGAAAACCCCCAAAACATCAGTAGGTGACATCACCAACAACCTCCACAGTGCAGGGGTGAAGGTCTCACAATCCACTGTTGGAAGAAGACTCGGAGAGCAGAAATACAGAGGCCATACCACAAGATGCAAACCACTCATCAGCAGGAAGAATCGGAAGGCCAGATTGAAATTTGCAAAGAAGTACAGAGATGAGCCGCAAAAGTTCTGGAGCACAATCTTATGGACTGATGAGACCAAGATTAATCTCTACCAAAGTGATGGAAAGGCCAAAGTGTGGAGAAAGAAAGGAACTGCTTATGATCCAAAGCATACAAGCTCATCTGTGAAGCATGGTGGAGGTAATGTCATGGCTTGGGTGTGCATGGCTGCTTCTGGAACAGGCTCATTAATATTTATTGATGATGTAACTGATGATGGTAGCAGCAGAATGAATTCAGAAGTGGACAGAAACATTTTGTCTGCCAATTTACAGAGAAATGCATTGAAACTAATCTGGAGGAAGTTTATCATGCAGCAGAAAATGACCCAAAGCACACTGCCAACAAAACAAAGGACTTCATCAGGGGAAAAAAGTGGAAGGTTTTAGACTGGCCAAGTCAATCACCTGATCTTAACCCAATAGAGCATGCATTTCACCTCTCCTGAAGGAAGAAACACCCCAAAACAAACAAGAACTGAAAGAAGCTGTGGTAAAAGCCTGGAATAGCATCACAAATGAAGAATGCCACAGTTTGGTGATGTCGATGGGTCGCAGGCTTGAGGCAGTTATTGCAAGCAAGCGTTATCCCACCAAATATTAAATGTTATTTACTTTAAGATTATTTGTTCCATTACTTTTGCTCACCTAAGAATGCGGTGGTCTAATAGAAATGGTGATATGCCCTAAGTTGTTTGACACATCTAGATGTGAATACCAGGAAATAAAAGCTGAAATTCTGAAATCTTTTCTCATACTCATCTTTTGATCTTAAACCCAAATGTCTTCAGTGAACAACAAAAACAAAGGAATTTGCCTTACTGTTACTTTTGGAGGGGACTGTATCTTAATTTTCTGACCTTAACAAAGCACCACCCAAATTTAGCTTTAAATTGACTTTAAACAATGTTTGTTGGCATGGCATGGCATGGTAGCGTGACAATAATTTTAATTATTTATTAAAGGTCCTCTACACACCGGTGTTTTCACACATGCTATTTAGTCCTCTGTTCAGGTTGAAGTTGGGTGCAGCTGTGCTAGAAATTACACGAAGAAGCCAAACTTCAGTAATGATTAAGGGGGTAAGTTTCCATAAGAGGTGCAACATTACAGGAGAGTTGGGGAGATGTCAGTCCACACAGTACTCAGAACAGGTCAAGTACAAGTGAAAACACCTGTGTGGGTGTACCAAGAGTGTGATTATGCAAAGGCAAAAAAACACTAGATGCCCTAAGGTCCAGCCCCTCTAAAATGGTTTAATACAATTATTACTACATAATATCAATAATATTTCTTATGCTGCTGCTCTGTGTGTTATTTCATTATTAAAACTACTTGGACTTATAGGCAGTAATCCATGATTAAGTCTGACAACATTGTATATTAAAGAGGAACAGTCCCAATCTATGTTAAAAGCTTCCAAGGGCATATAGTTTAGTAGTCATATCCCTACCAATATCCAGCGACTACTGAATTGTCCCTAGTAATGATTTTGTGAAATGAAAATATAACCACTGTTGTCTGTCAGCATCTAGTCAATGTATTTGGTCCACATTCGGTTAGCAGCTCTTGTTCTCTACTATGAGGGCAATTCATTTTTTTTTAAGTTTTGAAAAATTATGTCCTCCCCCCTCATATGCCTCACAGTGATTCGGTCCACTGCCAACCTTTTTTCAGACCCTCAGCCTGACTTTAATTCTAAAAAAATATTTTTTATCCCCACCAGCCTTGGCATGAAATATCCACCCTTGATGGCTTTACATATAAATATAAATTGAGGACGATTAAAGTTATCAGAGATGAGAAGAAGAACAATTAGAGACTGGAATATCTGGCTGTAAATAGAAAATCCCATTTTAAACTTCAGTAAAACCAGAACCACCAGCTGGCATAATAGTCTCTTCACATTTTGAATTAAGGTTTAATCTACAGCAACACACAAATCATTAGAGGTAAGAAACACATTTACTAATAGAGCTAGGCAGGTGTGTCACATTAGGCCTAAATGCCAATTAGCAGCATTTTTCAGCTATGAGAGGTCCACTAATCTGCACATTAGGCAAAATGACACAGCGGAGCATCAAAAGAGATTAAATCACCAGTCTCCCTCTCTCTCCCTATCAACAATCATTGTGAAGTGAATGTTTGCGCAAACAGAAAAATATTACTTCTGTCCTGGGATGCAGTTTTACTGTATTCTATATTAATACTACCCCCTGATTATCTTCCAAAGATGATTTAGAGAGAATGTTAAGCACTAGACCTGAACAAATATGGCTTTGCTTTTTGTCTTTTGTTCTATATTTTTTTATTTTGCTTTTCAAATCAATCCACCATTTCAGTTCCTTTTCTGTATCCATTCATGTGTGTCGACTTGTGGGTGTCACAATTATGACTATATTTGCAGAAAACCACTAAACACTAAAACCTAAATTATCAGTTCATGAAATTTGAACATTATTTCACTAATATAGCAAACCCTGTATTCAAAATATAACTCCTACTCGGACATAACCCATGAAAGCAGATGATTACGTGTACTTCGTAGACTTTAATTTTGAAAGTCAAGACGAAACTTAATAAACGTCAATCTGAGCCATGGGTGCCTTTACAGTCAGTTTAAGTGCTCTAACGGTGGTGGACTGGCACACCTAATCTAAAAAAAAAAAAAAATCTTTGTGAACATCAGCAACAATGTTTATACTTTTGTAGCAGCTGAGGAAACAGAGATTTAAATTAAGGCTAACCCATATTTTAGAGAAACTTCAAAGATGGCATGTGATGTGCCCTTAGCAGGAATTAACTGGAGCAATCTACTGGCAAGGTAAAACAAAATAAACAGCTTTAAACAGACTTTAAAGCTCTCCTTCTGTCTTTCCTGGTTTTAAACCTTCAGACAGCAAATCGTCTGCAGGTCCCGTATCTGAATAACTCTTGACTGAAGGGTCCTAGGGCATCTTAAACAGTTAAGGGTCTTACCTGATATTGCAACAGTAGTCTTCAGCCTGTTCCTTGGCTGTTGCAAAGAGCCATCTTGACAATATTTTCCTATTGAAGCGCTATGCCTGCTGTCATCCTACACACACAGGCACTGGCAGGTTCTGCAGTGGTAAATATAGACGCACGGGGCTGGATTTGGCTCGCCTTAGTCTTGTGTCAATCCCACACAATGCAGCATGAAAAAAAAAACCAATGGAAGACATTTTTCTCTCTCCTCCTTTATTGATCTCTCACACACCTGTGATTAGACAAACACAGAAAAGAAGAGAATTGTTAGTCAGAAATGACATCTAAGACTTTGATGAGAAGCATTTCTGTCTCATGGGACTGTCTGGAGGATGTGCAGACAGGGAAGAAAGAGCTTGAGTTGGATTTATTCCATGGAACAATAATATTGATTTTATGATGCCTTATTGATTACTGTACGGGGAACTCTCTGCTCGTCATCTCCAGGGAAGTCACACTTAGTCAGCTAAGGAGCAGCACCAATTGGGAGAGTGTTTTGAATAGAAGATGCCTGCTAACACTCACTGGAACCCATCAGGTCACCTGGTTGTAAGACTCTCCCTCTACTCATCAGGCATTTGTTTAATTTGGTGCAGCCTTGGGTTGGGTGGGGCAGGCAGCGTGGGAAAGATGTATTGATATCAGATGTATATCTTGTGTGGTCCTCATCCATCTTTCATTTCCCCCACGTGTTCTTTATCAAAGCCCGACACTGACGAACATACGGTGACTTTCCAAACCTCAGGAGCAATTAGAGGAGCTAACCTCACGGTCCCTAAACAGACACCAGAGGCAAAGTTCAGCTCATTTGTTGTCACGTTAAAAAAGGCACTTCTTCATCATCTCCCCCTCCTCAGTGGTGCTCTTGCTCTCTTCAAAGCCACATTATCAACATCAAGAGGTGTCAACCTTCAGCAGATTTAGATCCTGAGCGACGCAGAGGAGAACAAAAGACTTACGTATGACATGTTCACTTGCTGAGACTGCTTTTCACCAAAATAGAACAAAAGATAGTGATGTGCGATGTGTGTGTATGTGCGTTAAAGTGGAAACAGAAGAGAGATGTAGAGGACATCAAAAATGGAAATGCTATGCTGGGATTTGACTAAAATGTATACGTTTTTAAAAGTACTAAGTGAGAGGCTGAGATGACAG